TCAGAAAAGACAGCAAAGGGGAAAAAAAGCAAGCTTCTTTCACCTAATTTGATGTCTGCATTGGATCGAACAAAAACCTCGGATCGCAGTGCTACATTTTTAATTGCAGCAACAGCCCAAACAGTTGGAATAAATGTAAGTGAAAGTACTGTTTCACGAAGTACACTTCGCAGACACAGAACAAAATTTCGAGCCCAGTTAGAGAAGGATTTGAAGCATAACTTCAAACCTGATGGTCCGCTCGTCTTCCACTGGGATGGGAAACTCATGGCTAGCATTTTTGGAGAAATGGAGGAAGTTGACCGCCTTCCTATTCTTGTCACAGGAAATGATGTGGAGAAATTACTTGGTGTGCCAAAACTGCCAGTTGGTACAGGCAAGGCAATTGCAAAAGCAGTATTTGATAGACTTAATGATTGGGAGATCATAGATAAAATTCAAGGCATGTGCTTTGACACCACATCTTGTAACACTGGTATTCACACAGGAGCATGTACATTATTGGAACAGAAGGTTGGAAAACAGCTCCTCAGTTTGGCTTGCGGGCATCATATTTATGAAATCATTATTGGTGATGTGTTTTCTGCAGTATTTGGACATTCTAGTGCACCTTGTGTTCTCATGTTTAAGAGATTCCAAAGTCACTGGAATTTTATAGACAAATCTTCTTTCAAATGTCCAGAAGAAACAATAGTACCTTCAGAAAATTGGAAACTATTAAAAGAAGAAGCTATTAAATTTGCCAAACATAATCTTACGTTTGAAACAAAATCATTGGCAAGAAATGACTACAGAGAGATTTTGGAACTGACTTTGATTTATCTTGGACAGGTGCCTCCACGTGGAGTACATTTTGCAGCACCAGGAGCATTCCATCATGCACGGTGGATGGCCAAAGTCATTTACTGTTTAAAAATATACATGTTTCGTGAACAGTTCAAGCTTACACCAAAAGAAGCTAAAGGGTTGAAACGATTTAATGATTTTAGCACACACTTGTACATGAAAGCCTGGTTTCGGTGCTCTAACGCAGCTGATGCACCTTTCATAGACTTAGAATTCTTGAAACATTTAAATTCGGTGAAAAATGAATGCAAAGAAATCTCAAAAGTTGCAAGCAATGGGTTGAAGAGGCATCTGTGGTACTTAAATGGTGACTTAGTCATGCTCAGCCTATTCAGCTGTCATGTAAGCACAGAAGATAAGGTTTTAATGGTTGATAAGTTGTTTAAAATAGATAAACACACAGAAGATGTAACCAATGCTTCTAAACGATTAAAGAAAAAAGAAATCGGAAATGTTAATGAAAAAGCATTGTATGATTTTGTTAATGAAAAATCTTGGATGATATTTAAGTCATGGAATATACAAGGCGATTTCTTACATTCGTCCCCATTAGAACGGAAGAAATTTGATTCTTACCATGATGGTGAAAAGAAAGAAAAATGTTTAAAGACAGTAAATAATTGCGCAGAAAGGGGCGTAGCGCTCATTATAGACTACAATGAACTGATAACTAAAGATGTAGAACAAAAACAATTCTTACTTCAAGTTGTGGAATCCCACAGAAAGAAATTTAAGGACACACAAAAACCCACAATTGTTCAAAATGTATGATTTTTTATTAGGATATTCTTCATATATGCTTACTAATAGATATTGTGTTGGCTCGCTCCCTTGTATTTTATGATATAAATAAGAAATATGTATATATGACTGTAGAATTCATGGTTTTTGATGGGAAAAATGTTTTTTTGTGTCATTAATTTATATGAAATGCAAAATTCCAAACTTCAAAGTCTTTGAGCTACCTCTAAATGTACTTCAAATGAGTTGAAATTTTGCATGGGGGCTTCTTTTGTCACGTGTACAAGTATTCAGGGTTAAGACCTGCACATTTTTAAAAAAAGTTTTTTTGGACCAGTCTAATACCTATACCATTTACAAATACCTATGATGACCTGGAGAAGTAATTAAAATTTACATATGTCTTTCTTTCTTGAGTTTATGATTATAACAACTATTAACTGATAAAAAATGAATATTAATCATGAATATAAGCTTATAAAGTATCTCTCTGGCTCTCCCTTACAAACAAATAAAATAAACTGTGTTTTTAAGTTCCACCTTTGAAAATTTGATTTCCGAAAATTTCTGTGATGAATGATTTTTTTAAACGTCTGGACCTTCCATCTCCGGAAACTTCAGGATCACTGTTAGTGAAAAATCCGGAAATCCGGATTTTTTCCAAAGCACAATCAGGCCTGATTATGGAATGGAAAATAAATAACATAGCTTTTTATTATTTTGAAACTACATAAAGACCAAGTTTTACATTTAATATTAAATAAGCTAGACTAAGCTAGGCACTGTAGTAGTCAAGATTTTAAAACCTTTTGATAAGGCTCTATTTCGGGAATGCAGTACCTTCAAAATATTCATTATTTCCGAATGAGTTATTTACAGCTTTCTTTAAGATTTAGTTAAAAATAGCTTACAAAAAAAGAAAAGTTTGCTAAAAGAAAAACATCAGAAGAATATGTAAGTTTTATAATTTATATCTTAAAATCAGAGAATGACACTAGCATCTTACGATATGTGAGAAGACTTGGCTCTACCATTAATGTAAAAAAGTATTTTTTTTGTAAGAAGTTTAAGTAACTATTTCACACACTTTTAAAAATAAAAAATTTAAAGGCATAAATTTAATTTTATTATTTTTAGCAGTCCAGTTTTAACTATTTTATTTCAACACTTACCTTGTTCATCTTGTAGCCTCTTTATGTGTGTAAATGATTCTTCCGCAGCCGAAATGAGACGTGCCTTTCGTTTTCTCACTCTACGTTCATATTCATGCTCCTCATAGAATCGTTCATTATGACTAGAGTCTCTACGATGAATGTCACTGCCCATGATACTACGATTTGTACAATTCATCGGACTATTAGGCACATTGTCCACGTCATACATCTTAAACCCAGGAGCAGATTTACGAGACTTGGTTGGTATTGTCTCTAAATATGGATTGTAAATTGAAAAATCTCTATAATAAAATTCTAATATCAAGGCAGCAGCTCGTTGTATACTCAGTTGGCCAATAGTATAACATCGACTTTCTCCATCTGGTGATCGGACAACTTTAATAAAATACTGAGCACTGAGTTGTCTGACTTCAATTAAAATAACAGCCAGATAATGAATAAATAATAAAGTATCTACAAGCGATACAGCAAAGAGCACAATGCTGTGGTAATCATCGTGGCGCTTTTCGACAATGCGAACACCATAGAAAAGCCAATAAGCAAATGTGAAAACAATCATCAATGCTAAAACAATTGCACGGAAAATAAATATTCTAGGAAGGGTGACTTTTGGCCTCCTAAAAAACAGAGCCCATGATCCAAATAGTAGTATTAAAAGTTTAAAAGATAAACTAATTAAAAGACCATCACACTCTGGTCCACACTTTTGGACTTTCCAATCCAATGCCTCCAATTTGGGTAAAATTACCATCGCAATTGGAGAAGCAAAGGCACAAAATGATAAGAGGGTCGTAAAAACAGTTCCAACCCACATGTGACAGTAAAAGCTAAGGCTAGTTTCATAATCTCCATTGAGTTTTGAAACATCGTCCATTGAGTCGGAATGATCACTCGTGTTACCAGTAATTGCTGTAGTATTATCACCCCAATTGTCATCTTGAGATAGTATCTGAACCTCTATGACTTCCTCATGTCCTCTATCAGTTCCATTGCTACATTTGCTTCCTAATGTTGAGTTGTGAGAGCGATCCAGTTTGGGAGTTCGATGTGAATGCTTTGAAGAACGATTTCGATAGTTATGATGATTTGAGCTACCATGAGTACTGTGAGCTCTACTACGACGAGATCGAGAAGATTGTTCACTGTAGCAAGATCGTACAGATTCAGTTTCCATGTTGGGCTTGCGAGGCAGATTTATACCTGTGCCAACATGGATATCTCCAGTCCATAAAGACATATCAGTCAATATGCAGTAGTATTCAATCAACCATCTTTAAGAACCTAAAAATTAAAAAGAATGTTAATAAAAAATTATTACATAACTGAAATATTAATCATAATACATAAAAAATATTCCTGATAGTTAATGATAAATGAATTAGAACAGTATGAAGATATGAGTGGATTTTTTTTTCTTCCTTTTTTTATTAAGAAATTTTTTAATTAAGTTTTCAATATGATGGGTGTAATCCCTTCTTATTGTTAAGGGTGAGATTAATAATAAACCAATGAAAAATTAGAGACATGCTGTATGTTGGTTATAATAATCTTTATCTAATTAATTTTTTAAAATTTAAACTTTTACACAACAATAAAATGAGATAAATATTTTTCGGTTACTTTCCAAAAATAAGCAAATAATTAAATACTAAATAACTCTTCCTTAATACACTTTCCCATACACAGAAAAATGGGAAAACTAGTTTGACAAAGTGACAATAGCGGGTCAAAATTAGGAGTTCAACAGGCATGCAATCAAATAGCTAACAATCAGTATCTAATCTTAACAATATCAGTTAGACTGTCAGAGCAGTTTTAAAAAGAAATCAATGAAAAGAAAATCTGAGAAATATTTATATTATAGAAATAAATAAAGTTTCATTTAAAACAGGTATAGGATATTTTGAATAATAAGGTAAAAAATAACAATCAAATGATTGTAATCAAGATACAGTAGAGTAATAAATATACAGTGTATATATCGTTTATACACAAATAAATTATTGGGCATTTACAAGTAGAAATTAAGGCTATAACTTTCATTTAAGAACAAATTAAATAGATAATAATTTAATGAAGCAATCAAAGAATCGACATATACCCAATGCACAGATAATTTATAGGAGAAATTGAAAATAATGCTAAGACTCCAATTACAATGCGACTTTCCTTTCAGTCAAATGTTGGATCAGTTATAACAAAAAATTGTCATTTCAAAAACTTTTTTTTTGCTTTGTTTTATCTATAAATATATGGAATCTTAATAAATGTGCATATTCATAGCTGAGTAAATGAGAAAATTTATTGTCTGTCAATGTCACAGATAGTATCTTTTCCCAACTCTGAGACTACATTTCCTCGAATTTCTTTATTATTAAGAAATCATTTTAAATGCAAATTTATTTAATTTTATATAGAAATAGAATTTTATAATTTTTGTAAATTTAGAAAGATGAATTGTATTATTTTAAAAAGGAATCTTCTTAGTAAAAAAGGACCCGAAATTTCAAAACAAAATGAAGAGGGTATTACCATACTGATACCTGTTCAAGTCAACTCTTATCACAAAGATGTTTAGGTGCCACATTTAAAGTTTATTATTTAACTAAATGAAGAGGGAAGAAATTTCAAAACAAAGTGAAGAGGGTATTACCATACTGGTACTTGTTCAAGTCAACTCTTATCACAAAGATGTTTAGGTGCCACATTTAAAGTTTATTATTTAACAAAATGAAAAGGGAAGAAATTTCAAAACAAAGTGAAGAGGATATTACCATACTAGTACCTGTTCAAGTCAACTCTTATCACAAAGTATAGGTGCCACATTTAAAGTTTATTATTTAATAATTAAAGTTAAAGAGTTTTTTCATAAAATGAGGATTATATATTGAACATAGTCCTTATAAATTGTAGACAATGATAAAACATCAAATTATTTCAGTAATCGATATTTTAAAAAATAACGCTATACCTAAGGGCGCATAATTCTTTTTTTTCTTTTTCTGTTGTTCAATCACAAGTTAAATAATCAGTTATAAATGCACAAATTTTAACAAAATTTCAAATGTCAATACATAACCTCATAGATTGTAATATTCAATGAATGCTGTTTCCAACTAAAACATGTACAGGAAGAACAATGAGTTTCATTAATAATGTGTTTTATTTCGCTAACATGATGAATGCAATTCTTACGAATATTCAGCTGGAGGGTCATTAATTTTACTGAATATCGTTGACCGATTAAATTGTTATATAACTTAGAATAACAATAAGGTAAAAAATGTTGTTTGATAAATATTTCACATAATTTAAACACATATGCAGTGATACAAGTAATTTTTACGGGAATATAACAAACAATATCGGAATTCGTTAATGAGATGTAATTTGACCGGAGGGTAATCAACTTTAGCAAGTATTGTTAAGAAATAAATATTTTTATAAAATTTTAAATAACAAAAAAAATCACTTAACATATTAAAATGTAAGGCTCTATCACACAAAAATCAGAAACATACATTACAATTGTCATCGGCATTTCTCACTCATCTTCAGGCGTCTTGTCACATTTGCGGTCGTGGAAATACAATATGGTATTTAGACAATGAATGCCCCTTTAATCCAGACAGGTATAGATAGAACATAATACATACTGTCAAATAACACATAAAAACTTCAAGTTCACGGATTCTGTCAACAGAAAGAAAGCAAACAAACAATTTCAAAGACTGTCATGGCGCGAGCAAAGGTTATCCTCGGGCAAGTTCATTAATTAGCACATTGTCTACATTTTCATGGCATTTTTGTGATGATTGGTTCAGATCTGATCAAATGAGCAAATTACTAAGTTATCAAGGACAAATTCATAATATTTAAATATTAAGTCCCATTTTCTGTCAAATTTTGATTATTTGACAGTTGACAACGATGATTTTAGTTTCGAAAACAAAACCAAAAACAAATAATTTTTATAAGCGATCTCCAAAAGTCAATGCAGATATCAAATAATTTTATTTAAATGAATAAATCAATTTTATAATGAAAAAACTCTGTTAATTAGTTATTTTAAAATAACTAAATTATATATATCAAAATATTAAGAGAAAAAGTATAAACTGTAACTGTGTTCATTACGCAATGTGTTGTCTAATTTGTTTACGTTTTGCATAGACTTAGGAATGAAAATAATAAATTTTCCTATACAATATTAATTAAAGATCGAATTTAATATAATAATAAGAGGTTGACGTACCACATTTTTATTTAAGATGTTTCGGAAACCTTATAAAGTCAAAACAAGTACTACAGTTAAAGGCTCTGACAGGTTAACTACTTTCGAAGTTTTCGTATAATGAAATTTTTTCACTATGAAATAAACCTTGTAAAAGGAAACAAAATAACACAAAAAAATTTTTAATACATCCTTAATGATTGGCCTTGTTAAAAAAAGTTGTACTACAACTATATTTTGAGCTTTAAGACAAATAAAAAAAAGCAGACATAATTTAAACTAAGTTTACTTCTCTGTTACATTTAGCAGAATTACTGTAAGAAGAAAGGCGGAATAATTTCGTATCGGTGTTTGTGCCTCAAAAATTGCCAAATTTTTGTCACAGCCGGCAATGACCTATGAGAAGCATAGAAAAAATAAATCACTAAATTGTTATAACATGTAACCACTTCCCGACAAACCATATTGTATATTTGTATGTATATATATATATTATATTTTGCACCTTATAAAACCTTTTGGCAAAGGTAATTTGCAAAAATTGGTACAAATAATTATAATATTTCTCCTTGAAACAAATATAATGAATTAAGACATTTCTATATCATGATTTGTCGCAACATTAAAGTTGCCAAAAGGGTCTTAAACTTACTATATTTTTTTTAAATAAAGGATATAGAGGTTTACCCAGAGATAGCTATGAGTTATACCTTATAAGTTGGTTCCTTTCTGTGATATTTTTTCTCTCTCCTTAGTTTCTTTCTCGCTGCCTAGAAGTTACCAAAACACAGAGCAGGATATAGATAGACAGACCTGCCACAGAGCAGGATATAAATATCTTAATAATAAAGATGTAAATTTGCAGAAATCCTCATTAAATGACAACTTAAGATTTTGAGACATGCTGCTCTAAAATTCAAATACCAAAGAGTTTACGACAACTGAACTTTTGAACCTGAAATTTGCATTTAGTTACCAAAATAAGAGTTCTTTATTTCCAGAAAAATTTTGTTACATATTTTTAGAAAAGTGGAATGTTGCTTCTAAATTCTGTTAAATAAGAATTTTTCGATGATTTTAACTCTGTTTTGATTTGTATTCTTACGAGTTAAATGTTATTATGAGTATTAACTATATTTTTAGTTCAACACAGTTTAATATATATATTCAAGACATACATGTGCAAAACAGTTAAATTTTCAAACAAAAAAATTTGAAAAGATTACAGCATTTTTTTATAGTTTTTTCTTTTAGGAATATTGTACCAAAATATTAAATAGATTTGTGTTAAAATGTAAAAGGCACTGCATTATATGTCTAGCTCCGTGACAAGTCATCTTCCAAAAAAATATGCTCAAAACGAAGATGACTGCAGAATTTCAGCTTTTACTCTAATAAGCAAATGGCGTCACAAAAGAGTAGATTGACTGGATAAAGATCTCGAGACTGGTTAAAACAATGGAGAATGAGCATTTTTAAGATCTGATATTAATGCACTATAGTTAATTACAAAATTACATTTATTATTTGGACTGTATTGATTACAAAACTTTGAATGTAATTTACTCAAAATAATGTTTCTCTTACTTTCTCTTTCTGTATCTCTAACTATGTAGTACAATTTTTAACCAATATATTGCTTAAAATTTTGGCAAAATGTTCACAAAAGATATAGTTTTGGTTGCTTTTAGGAATTTTTTAATTGGGCTGACTGGTTTTGAGTAATCCACAAAAATGTAATTATTTTGTGTCATGTTTTACTTTTTTTAAAAAATGCTGCCATTTTGTAAAAAAATATATATACTTTTACAAATCCTACATGCAACGAAAACTACATTCATATAGTTTGAAAAAAGTAACAGAATCAAATTTGGATGAATTTTTTTCAATGTAAGAATGCAGCAAGTTATAGAAAATTTTATAAAACAGTTATAAACATTATCTTGTCGAAGCTCTAAGTTTTTAAATTTTGTGTTCGGAACATGAGAAAATGAAGATTAAAATATGTAAAATAGGATAAAGAAAATGCATTAATTTTATCATTGTCGCAAAATTCTTTCTTTTTCACAGGCTTTTACTGTGTTGTTCCCCCTCAATTAAATCTTTTCAATTAAATCTCGACATATTTATTTTTCAATTTTCATTTAACGCTACTCTGTGGTTTTTTGAAAATGTCTGCTGCTTTGTGTTTTGGTAAGGTTGGCAAGTCTGGGCAAGGTAAACCTTATTATGCCACATGTATTAATCAGTTAAAAACTTTTAGCACTATTTAGTAGTTCTAACTACAAATTACAAAATTTTGTCTTAAACAGTATCAGGCAAGATAAGTTTAGATCTATCTAAAAATTATGTTACATATGCATGTATAATTTTCAAATGATCCCAAATTAAACCTTTTTAAAAATTAAAAAAATTCCTTAAAATGTTTTAATTAAAATTATACTGTTATTCTAAACTGTGAAGGTTTTAAAAAAACTGTTACCAAAAAAATTATATTAAATTTAGCAAATTGTCTTTGATATAGACATTTAATTCTTATCAACCTTATTTCTAATAGGAGAAAGCTGAAAAGTCTTGTAGAAAATCATTTTCCTTCTATACCTGCTGAAGATCTTAATGCGTTGATCCCTAATAAAGGTGAAATGAATCAGGTGAAAGCTTTAACACATTCAGGTACTATTGCTATGATCTATTATTCAGGCTTAAATCCAGTGTTCTTTCAAATTTGGGACACATGTTATCCTACATTATACACACTTTGGAAATATCCTAGTCTACTCCCAACAATAACTATGGTTCCTCCAGTGACAGAAAAAATTGCTAATGGTGCTGACTTGATGGCTCCTGGAGTTGTTGTAAGTGATTCAACAATTAAAGAAATGAATAATTTAAAAACAAAAGATGTTTGTGCTGTAAAAGTAATAGGCAATAAGGCAGCTTTTGCTGTTGGTACTGCTATGATGTCTGTAGAAGAGCTATGTATAGATGGGGTAAAAGGAAAAGCTATGTCTATAGTTCATTTTTATGGTGATTTGTTACATTTATCTGGTGAGCATCAAGAAATGCCTTTACTATTAGAGCCTGCAGAGGTTCCTAGTGATACAGAAGATGATTCATCCAAAAGTCAAAATGATGCTTCTCCTGACAAAAAAACAGATGATTCATCTTCAATGGAAATATTAAGTAATTGCAGTGAGAATAAGGTTACAAATGAAATGAATGAATTAAATCTTAATAAAGAAAGTAGGGCAGAAGAAGATATTCCTGATTATTCAATGGATGAAATACTTCTTAATTGTTTCTTGGCTGTTGTTAAAGTTTCTGGAAAGAAAATTAATCTTCCAGTTTTGACTAGTACGTTCTATGGGGCACATGTTTTAAAATCATGCCCGTCCTCGTTAACTTTAGATATTAAGAAAACAACTTATAAAAAGTTTTCTGTTTTTTTAAAGAAAATGCAGACAGAAGGTGTTATAGAAATCAAAGAACTAACCAAAGGTGTTGAAAGCATTATTTCTATCAATATGGATCGTGAAATTGTTACTTCATTTCGTCTACATCCTATTTTCAAAAAGCACTTAAAGGAAGAAAAAGAACGACTGGCAGAAGCTTCCTCTGAAGGTGTCCAGACATCATATAAATTTCCTCTAGTTACAGAACTTTATGTTATAACTGCACAAGTAAAAGAGCTTTTTACGCCTTATCAAATAAGGTATAAAATCCAAGTAATTAACTATATTAGTTATAGTTTTTTTAATGTATGATTAATATCTGTTAAATACTTGTTAATATAGGCTATAAGTATAATACATATATGTGTTGTTTTTTTTAATAGAAAATTAGGTATTTCACAATATCATTTTGCTCAAAAATCGAATTCAAAATTTAAATTTTTGTGTAAAATTTATAATTTTTTATGTAACTCTAGACTTTCATGCAAAAACTAATATAATTCTTAAATATTTTTTTCAATTTCTTAAACAGTATATGTAATAATAAACGGCTGAAATCGACACATGAATGAAATCCATTATTTATTAGTTTAAAGTCTCTGAAAAATAAAAAAGTAAAAATTTTTATTTTGAATTTTTTTTCTCTGAAACTTGAATTGATTTCATTTAAATCTAGGATAAACAAATTTTATTCTGAGAAATATTATTTTTGTGTCCAATTTCAACACTTTAATTATATATACAGTAGAGCGCCGATTATCCGAACTGCTCGGGACCGAATATGGTTCGGATAATTGGAAAGTTGTTTAAAATCTAGTGTAAAAGATTATTGTTTATGCCCTTTGAACTTTTTGTAGGCTTAGGACTGGCAGTACTATCTAAAATAGCTCTGGCGTGTTTAAAAGTTTTTTTTTTCCAATTTTTAAATATTTTTTATTTATTTTTTTAAACTTTTTTTTTTCATTTTGAGCTATTTGTATCATATTTCAGCTTTTTAGAATTTTTTTGTCAATTACTAATTTTACCACATTTTTCTTTATTTTTCATTGCAAAAGAAATCCAACAAAGACTTTTGTTTCTAAGAAGATGCTCTTCTTTGAGCAGGCATATCCCTTAATCTTTTTAAATAAATAAACTGAACTGGATCAACATCATGTTGACATTCTAGCCTGTTCATTGCAAAATCTAATGAATTGCATGCTTCTATATGAGAAGTCCAATATCTTGAACTTGATCACCTACTTCTTCCTCTTCGTCTGTCGAGTTCCGATTTTCATTCAAAATTTCAGCAACAATTTCATCATCTTCATCCGAAAGATCTACTGCTTCAGAAACTTCAGTTTAGTTTGTTTTTCTGTTAAGAATTTCATTCCAAGATTTAAGATTCCAAGCACTGTAATCACTAATCATTAACCATCAATGACAACTACCCATCCCTCAATTGTAGAACTTCAGCACTTATCTATTCATAAACTCCTTCCACATTTCAACCATTGTGGACTGTCAAAATAAAGCTGGCATTCTTGGAAAATAATTTTCAGTTGAAGAGGGCAGGGTATGTAGCTTTGACTGTATCGCAATACATGTATGTATGGCTACTATAAGAAAACTGCTAAAGAAGGTTGTAAATTAAATATGGTCTTCAGATGTAGCGGATATTATTTATTCTTCTAAATTTAGAAAGATTGTTGATAGGTTAAAAAATATTCTAAACTTAAAAAAAAAAAAATAATAATNTTCGTCTACATCCTATTTTCAAAAAGCACTTAAAGGAAGAAAAAGAACGACTAGCAGAAGCTTCCTCTGAAGGTGTCCAGACATCATATAAATTTCCTCTAGTTACGGAACTTTATGTTATAACTGCACAAGTAAAAGAGCTTTTTACGCCTTATCAAATAAGGTATAAAATACAAATAATTAACTATATTAGTTATAGTTTTTTTAATATATGATTAATATCTGTTAAACGCTTGTTAATATAGGCTATAAGTATAATACATATATGTGTTTTTTTAATGGAAAATTAGGTATTTCACAATATCATTTTGCACTAAATCGAATTCAAATTTTAAATTTTTGTGCAAAATTTATAATTTTTTATATAACGCTAGACTTTCATGCAAAAACTAATATATAATTCTTAAATATTTTTTTCAATTTCTTAAATCAGTATAATTATAAATGTATGAAATTGACATATGATCAATTATGTTGATAAATTTTTTAGACTAATTGGTATCAAAGATGCTTTCATGCAAAAACTAATTTAATTCTTAAATATTTTTTTCAATTTCTTAATCAGTATAATAATAAACGGCTTAAATCGACACATGAATGAAATCCATTAAAGCCTCTGAAAAATAAAAACTTAAAAAATTCTTGTTTTGAATTTTTTTCACTGAAACTTCAATTGATTTCATTTAAATCTAGGGTAAACAAATTTTATTCAGAGAAAGTTTATTTTTGTGTCCAATTTCAACACTTTAATTATATATATATATTAATTTATAATTTATTACTATTATATATGTATTAATTTATAATAGTTAATTAATAATGTTGAAAGTTTGTCCCACAATCAATCTTAATGTATGCGTTTTTTGGTTATTAGATTAAAACTAATTAACATTTGGATTTGTTTAACACAATAATAAAACTGCAGTTTGCATTCATTAATATAAATGCTTATTAAAACAAATTCAATAGAAAATTATTTAAACAATTAGGGTATGTTTCGGATTAATAAATACCTAACGGATACAGACTTTGCTTAGAAAAAAAGCGATAATTAGCAGAAATTACAAATTTTTAAAACTATTTTATGAAGTAAACATTGTCAGCAAATGAAGACTTTGAATTTGAGACAAAATATGCATTTTATTGAATGTTCATTATATTCTCATTTATGATTTTGAAATCATTCCTTAATTTAATTTTTCAATTTGATTTGCAACTGAACTATTCTTAAATTAAGAATCAGATTATCAAATTATCAGAACAATTTGTGTATCTTTCTGATTAATAAAGTGATGCAGACTTTGTTTTTAAAGCAATAATTAACAGGAATTAGAGATTCTTAATGCTGATTTACAAAATCAATATCATACACAAATGAAAAATTTAAATTTGAACTAAATTATAAATTTTGTTGAATGTTTATTATATTCTCATTTTGACTTTAAAATCATTCCTTGATTTAATTTTTCTATTTTATTTGTGAATTGATTTGTAACTCAAATATTCTTAGACTAAAAATTGATTTTGCCTTTAGCTTATTTATACTTTTTTTCCTGAAATTGTTTATTTATTTATTGATTTGAAATGCTCAATAAAGCAATTATGATTTTATGAAAAACAAATAAAAGTTAAACAAATTAAAGAATAATAACAAAATGTTTTGAATTTTTTGTACTTAGAAAAGGAGACACAGTGACGGCTATTACTATACGAGATGTTATGAAGAAATTCGTCAAGGAAAACTCTCTTCAAAATGAACACAATCCTAAGTAGAAAGAGTTTTTTTTTTTTAATTATATTTTATAAAATAAATGGTCTAAAAAAAACTTTTTCTAAGTTAATTTATTAATTGCCTAGTAAGTAAAAACATGTACTATATTTTTTCTACTTTATTCTACAATTTCTACTATATTTAAAATTTTGTTTGGCTAAAAACATGTATGTTCAATTACAGCTTCTTTGTATAGATTTGATATCATTGGGCTCAATAACTTTTTATGTAATTTACAGCTTGTAAAATTTTAAAATTTAATTTTCACATTACATAATGGTGGTATGCTAAACAATAAAACTCGTAAAAGATATGGTGTATCATTTAATTAATCGTACTATAAACACAAATTTACATACTCATTTGTACAGTTGAATTTATTTTCTGGTAAATTTGCGATTGTATCGTGTGAAAATAAAAGAAGTTATCAATCCAGCACAAATCATAAACAATATTCAAAAACACCAACAAACTTTTGTTTTACTCATCTTCTTGCAAATTAAAATTATGTTATATCTTTATAAGCTATGAAGTTACAACATTTAATGTCGGAAAATAGTTTTTGTGTGTAATCTTCAATTTTACAGAATAAGTATTCCTTTCTCTTTCATATGTAGTAGTGTTTTTCTTTTATGGTCCTTAACTCACCAAACTTGATAAAAATAGTATGCTTAATCAGCAATTATCATGCCACACCTGTCCTATAACTAAATGGAAGAAAGTATCAAAATAATTTCATTTTTTGTTCCATCCTTAAAATGACATATTGTCGTAACAAAATTGTAGTTTATATTAATGCAAATAAAGTGTACTTAGTAAGAAAATGTCCTATAATATAACAAATAGGAAAAAAAGTTTAAATTTGATGTTTACTTTCAATTTCTCATGTCTTATTTAAAAAAAAACTTAACTTGCAATAGGGAAGTAAACAAGAAGCAAAAATATTGCCCTTACTGTAAAAATATATATATGTATACAGTAGGGAACCGATTATCCGGAACGATCGGGACCATCGCTATTCCGGATAACTGATTTTTCCGGTTTTCTGAATCACTACAAAAAGCTGTTTTTTTTAATTAAGCCCATTTAAAAAAAATATTTGGAAATAATCTTAAAAAGAAGAAAAAACGATGAAGTAATACACTAATGATTANTAAATATGTATACAGTAGGGAACTGATTATCCGGAACGATCGGGACCATCGCTATTCTGGATAACTGATTTTTCTGGTTTTCTGAATCGCTACAAAAAGCCGTTTTTTTTTAATTGTTAAACCCATTTAAGAAACATATTTGGAAATAATCTTAAAAGGAAGGAAAAACGATGAAGTAATACACTAATGATTATTTCCATAATGATGGTAAGGTCCATAATGATCTTTCAAAAAAGAAAGAAAAATCTTATGAGGAAAAAAAATTTTTTTTTCTTCAAAAAATGGCGGGAAAATTTATCGAATTTCATTCCGGCTTTCTCGTCGCCAATAGCCCATTGTGCAGCTCTAGTGCGACGTAAATTAACAACAACAACAACAACATTCCGGCTTTCTGATTTCCGGATAACGGGTTCTGTACTGTATTTACATTGAGACTTTTTCCTCTGTTATTCTTTCTTTGTTGTGTTTTTGCAGCACAACATACTATTATTTTCACTTAGAAAATTAGAGATAAAAATTATTTAGGTTTTAATAAACTAACGCTTATGAAAGATTTAATTTGTTAACATTTTATTCAATTATGATTATTTTATCCTAGCAGCACTATTTACCTAGCAATATTGTGATAAAACAATTTAGCGATGAACATGCATTTATGTAGATTGTTTGTTTTAGTAAATATATCAATAATATTGCCGTTTTTCAAAACAAATTATATTGTATGATTCTTAATTTAAGATGCACAAAATATTATCAAATTCATTATGTTAAATATTGTAAGTGATATGTTTATTTATATTATATCATTGTTGTGTAAAAAAACTACTTTTGATTAGCTACTCCTAATTTAATGATGCTTTCTGCATTTCTAATACGTATTTATTTTAGGGAAGTTGTTCTTAATCCGATTTTATGTGATTGTGTTTCAAAAAGAGGAGAAAATAGAACAACAATGCTATGGGATGAACTTTTTGATGCGTAATTATAAATAAATTTCTTAATTTATGTTAAAATTATGTGAATTTCTTTGATTATTTTAGTTTTTCATTCTGCTTATCTAAATGCTAGGACCTCTTTTTAAGGACTTTTCTGAAAATTCATAAATTTTTTTTTTATATATATATATTTTGTTTAAGTACGCAATTTTTTTAAGCATCCATTTATTTTATTAATGACTCGAGCTCTCTGTTGTTAATACCTTTTTATTCGTATCTCTAAGTATTATTTGTATTCAAAAACTCTTTTTATTAATTGTAACAATTGAAAGAAAAGTTTTATTTACTTATTTTAAAATTTCACATAATTTTAGATTTTTTTTCTTTTCATTTTGCTTTNACATGTATATATATATATATATATATATACCTTTTTTATACATACTTTTCCAGATTATTTTACAATTTTTGCATTATTGAGTTAATATGAACATTTGGAAACGTTGGATATTTTTTTTAAAGAATTTAACAGTAATTTACTTTTTTTACTAAGACCTAAAATATTTTTTCAGAGTTCTTTAAAGTTTAATAAAGTCAGCATCAAGTATATTTCCATTTTAAACCTGTATTTGATTTATAGTTGCCTTACAGAGATTTATTTTACTAACTTTTTCTGTTTAATTTAAAATTATAAACTAACTTTTTTTTAAAAAATATGAGATTAAATTTTTTTAATATTGTTATTATCAATTTTAATGTTGTTATTGTTAATTTAAAATTCATTAAATTATGTTAATACATTTTTCCCCCTTTTTAGAATAACTTCGAGGATGACCCATGCATATCAAATCGAATTTGAAGACAAAGAAGCCATTATTAAAAAAGGGAAATTAGAACCTATAAAAGTAACTGTTGATACAAGAACTGGAAATAAAAAGGTATATTGTAGTCTAACACATCTTTCTATTCACTCTACATATATTTTTCTCTTTATATTTTTGTAGTTTGTTAGAGCAAATTAAAATTTATGATTTCTTTTTCATTTAACTTTTGTTTTGAATTTTAACAACCCTATATGTTGAATTCTGATAGTTATTCTTATCAATGAAGTGTTGCAAATTTTTATTGTGTGTCTATCAATATTTTAAATTCTTTTGTTACTGTTTAAAAATAGTTATAGTACTTTAAGCTTATCAAAATATCTGTGCCCATCAGTATTATTAGCTTTTAGTTTGTTTTTTTTTTTCTTTTTTTTTTGAGATTGTTATATCTATGTAGTAATATAGTACTACAAATAAGTATTGTAAATTAGAAATAAATTATTTCTAATATATCCAATAGATACAGTTTAAATTTTTAACATCTATTTTTCATTCATATGCTTTAAAACCTTGTAAAAACATTATTGTAAGTTATAGCTATTTACTTTTTACCTTGTTTTGTTTTAAAACCAGTTTATCAATTTCTACAGGTGTTTTTTCTTTTTTTTTTCCTTCTTTTTTTTAAACATTCAATGCAAGTTTGTTGTTTTTTTCTTTCTTTTTTTACTGTTAAAAATAAATTTATTTTGAAACTATTTTAAGAAAGGAAGAAGTTCATTTATCCATTTTTATTATAGTAAGAATATGTTTTAACCTTTTTTTAAGCCAATTGAAATATTTTTTATAAATATTAAAAAAATAGTTCAATATAAAACTATTGTACTTTCTCTTACTATTTTTTAGGCTGACTCCTTTGTTTTTGCACCATCTTTTGAATTTCTGATATCTCCCCATGTTTAAAGTTTAAAACAGGGTATCCGCGCACCTGAAAAGTCATGAAAAATCATGGAAAGTCATGAATTTCAGTATTGAACAAAATTTGTCATGAAATGTCATGATTTTAACTATTTTTTTAAAAAAATCATGGAAATTCATGGATTTAGGTGTCTGAAAAATCTAATTTTTAAAATGGAATCTCCCTCCCCCCAATTTCATCCTGTTCCAAATATCTGAATTTCTAACAAAATCACCACTCAGTCATATTTTATTTGAATATAAAATGANATTGTTTTATCTATGTAGTAATATAGTACTATAAATAAGTATTGTAAATTAGAAATAAATTATTTCTAATATATCCAATAGATACAGTTTAAATTTTTAACATCTATTTTTCATTCATATGTTTTAAAACCTTGTAAAAACATTATTGTAAGTTATAGCTATTTACTTTTTACTTTGTTTAGTTTTAAAACTAGTATATAAATTTTTTACAGGTGTTTTTTTTTCTTCTTTTTTTTTCTTTCAACATTCAATACAAGTTTGTTGTTTTTTTTCTTTTTTTACTGTTGAAAATAAATTGATTTTGAAACTTTTTTAAGAAAGGAAGAAGTTCATTTATCAATTTTTTATATAGTAAGAATCTGTTTTAACCTTTTTTTAAGCCAATTAAAATCTATGTTTTTTGGGAGGGGGGGCCGGGATAGCCTAGTCGGTAGGGCGCTGGGCCCATGTCTGAGAGTTCGTGGGTTCGAACCCCGTCGGCCGAAGACCCCGTCGGCCCGTTAAATCTGTCGAGTCGCAAAAGTCCTTCATGTTCCCATAACAAATCAATACCTCTGGGGGTACTGGATTGGAGATTGATCGTTCTCTGATTCAGGTCAAAATTACGATCTGTGGATGAATGAATGGATATGTGAATTGGTCCGCCATATAAAACGGGCTGTGACGTGTGTGTAGCTGAAGTCAAATTCTTAGCCATAGGATGGCGCCACTGAAAAACAAGAAGCACACACTCTGTCTTAAGTTTGCTCGGTTTCATCAAGCAAGCTTGCCCGTGTGGCAAGTGGCATTAGAAACAACACAACAACAACAAAATATTTTTTATAAATATTAAAAAAATAGTTCAATATGAAACTATTATACTTTCTCTTAATATTTTTTTGGCTGACTCCTTTGTTTTTCCACCATCTTTTGAATTTCTGATATCTCCCCATGTTTAAGGTTTAAAAGTTCCTCAGTATAAAAAAATTTTGCATTTGCAAATTTTTTAAAAACATTTCATAAATATGGTTTAACAGTTTCATAAATATGCTTTAACGTATGCATATTAAATGCTATTAACTTAAACCATTGAAGCATTGAGCCTCAGGATAAAGTTGTATTTGAATTTCTTTAATAAACATTGATTGCACAGAGGAAAATAAGTTTTTTGATCAGAAAACCTTGCAGTATAAAGTAATGAATAAGCTGTGACTGTGTGTTCAGCTGAAGCTGTGTGTTCAGAAGATTAAAAAAAATAATAATAATAAAAATTATAAAGTTTTATATATTATTTATAAATTTGTTTTGAAAATTAAGTTTTGCAAAAAAGGGAATTTTGACATTAAAAATGATTTTTAAAAAATGAACATATCACATAAGGACTAACTTAGTAGAGTTGTTTTATACAATTAGTCAAATGTTGTTAATGTTCAGTATAATGTAAATAATGTGTTGTTAAAAAAATTCTTTATATAATTTAAAAGTACCTTGGTAGTTCATAATTCATTAACCATAATTTGTTCACAATTCACTGATTTTCATTTTAAATATTTTCAACAATGACATTAAATCTTAATATTGCAATACCATGCAGAGTTTTATATCATGTGAACCATAATACCTTTCAACAAATGCTGAAAAGTTACAGAAAATGTTGTTTTACGATGGAAGTCATGATAGATTTAATCAGTAGTAATTTTTTGTACTTATTGTAGCTCACTGTTATGTTTGAAAAAGACTTTTTCTATTGTACTTACTATTTTTAATTATTTATAAAAAAAAAATTAGAGGTAGAAGCGAGAAGGCAAAGATAGGTGATGTTACTCGCACGAGACAAGCAACGGCAAGAGAACTATTACAAATGTCCATGGTATTTACAATACATAATTTGCATATTTTCAATGCTATTGAAAATTATATTAAAACAAACTGCTGACAATTTACTAAAAATTTTAAGAAATGCAAATTACAACTTGTTAAAAAGTCTTGATGTTGCAACCAATGAATATGTTATCTAGCAATGTGCCACACAATTATTACAAGAGGTAGATAAAGATAAACCCCGATGTGAATAAAATTTAATTTGGTGAGTTACATTAGCAATTTGACGCTTTCAATACTGTCAATCCACAGAATGTCACAAGGTCGATAAAGGTCTTTGAATTTTCCCTTTTTTACTCGATTTTCTTCCATGCTTGTTAAACACCAGACTTGTGTAAGCCCTTACAAAAATTTAAAGTATTTTTGAGGTGTTAAGGTTGATTTGAGGTTTATTTGAAGTTGACTTTAAAAACAACCTTAAAAAGCAAACCTCCCGAGGCTTATAATCAAGGTGTATGAAGTTGTTTTATTTACACTTTAGGATGTTTTGAGGTTGATAGAAATCTACCGTAGAACAACCAGCATAGAGAGTTTGTTTTTAAGGTATATATGTTATTTTTTCTGCACTGTAAGCAAATAAGTATATTTGAGATGTCAATAATTTCCCCCGATTTCAACTAAAAGTGTTACTGAGCTATAAAGGAAGTTGATTTGATGATGTATAAATAAGGCTGATATTTAGGTTTATTGATCAGGTTATTTTTGGTGCAAAACATAAGTCTAATTTTCTACCTCCAGTGTATTTTTTTACATTTGTCAACCTCAAAACCACCTCAACTCATTAATTTTTTTGTAAGGAGATTTTTTTTTTTAAATATTACTGAATTTTTTTTATGGTTCTTAATCTACTAAACCATGATTCCTAGCAATTCCAAACCAAAAATAATCTATGTGTTTTATTTATTTTAAGAAAAATTACTAAATTATTTACTAAATCTGATATTATATTTACAACAGCACTTGATAGGTTTAATTTCATTATATTAGTACATTTAAAATTTAAAAACTTAATTATTTACGAAGCGCTTCCGAATTTGATAAAGTTTTGTTCACTTACTAAAATAGCTCTATAATCAATATTTAGCAGTTGTTTTCATATGCAATATTCAAAGCAACTATTTAGTTTTAATAGTATGTTAAAGGAAAGATTTGTTTTATTTAACTACATTGCTGTGAAAATTCTTATTTGGTAAATGTTCATAAGAGAGTTTTAGTCAAGATATAATAATGTTTTAACATAATTATTTAACTTTTAGGTAACTCTAATTCAGAACTTGGAAATATATGGTATAAAACCAGAATTACTTGCCCAACATGTTGCTGTAGCATGTGCAGCTAGTACTTCTATAACTCCTACACAAAATGCTAAGGGAACATTGGTGCTTATTCAAGGAAATCAAGTTCGTTATCTTCAAAAACTCTTTTTAGGTAAGTGTTAGATCTTGCTTACAGAACTTGTTTTACCTTACCTGAGCTTTTCATATATTCATTTGCTTTTTTATATTTAGCTTGATAAAAGCTGTGGCTTTATTATTGATTCAGTTTTTTTTTAACCTGTTTTTACTTGAATTCTCTAATTATTAGACTTTTTCTTGGTGTAAGGGAAGAAATAAATTAATATTTCACTTGTCATAGTAAAGTAGGAATTTNTATTCTAAAAAATAGAAATCGAAAGAATTTTGTAAAAGGGAGGGAAACTCTAAAAATTTGTAAATACTCAATGACAAAACAAAAAACCATTAAGAAATGCAATACTTCAGAATAATTGAATATATTCAAGTGTTTAAAAGCAAATTATAATAACATGCAATAACAAAAATCCATTTCAAGAAATAACAGAAATCCACTTCAAAAAGAAATTATTCAATTTTTATCAGGACTTTTATGACCCAACGGGACTTCAAAGTCCCAAAAGAACAATAATACGTCATGTTAGAAAATTTTTACTTAGATGGTTATGTTTTGAATTAAAATTACAAGAAAGTTCATAAAGAATAGGCAAAAAAATATAAAGTACTTACCAATAAATATTCTGTTGTTACGAAGCTTGGAAGTACGTCAGTAATTTTCCAGCAAAATGGCAGTTCAAACTGAGCGCATGACTAAAGTGTTCACTCATATCCACGCGGAACAAATCGTTTTATATAGTGCTGCCATCTACTGATCATTAGAAGAAGGTTTAAATGAAAGAACTTAAAAGTCCCGTTGGAATTCATGCAAGACTTTTAATTTCATTTGACTTTATATTAAGTGGGACTTACAAGTCCCGTCGAGACATAAAGGGTATTTTAAGCCAGTGCCTTCTATGAAAATTATGAAAATGCAAAGCTGTTTGTGATATAATTTTGTAATATTTAACGAGTTACTTCAATACTGCAGTGTCTAAGCTTTAAAAAATTTGCAAAAATTGAGAATTGTTCATTTCTTTTAATGATTTTCTTCTATATGAAAGTAATCTCTCCAAATTGGCAATTTTTGAAAAAAGTTAACTAGTTTTTAAAATATTTAATCTGTTTGTCCATTCTAAGAACCTGTTATATCTTTACATCAAGATGGCATATATTGTTTAAAGTAACTGCTCTGCTTCGTGTAAAAGACACTAAACGGTAAGGTAGTTTTTATTTTATTTATTTAACCTGGCAAAAGAACTTGAAAAACACTATATAAAAAGGAGAGGAGAATTAGTTTTGTACATCTATACTTGGGGTCGTCTTTATAGGAAACACAATAAGCATTACTTCACTTACAAAGAACTATCTTTTTTCTGTGAGCTGCAAATGAAATTTTGACTAGTTTGTATATGTCAACATTTTGATTTTCTAAGAACTGAACATTTAAGTAACAAAAAGTGATTAATTTTATTATGATAAAGAAAACTGATTGATTAATTTTATTATGATAAAGAAAACTGATTGATTAATTTTATTATGATAAAGGAATATGATGACAGTTGTTATTTTTCCTTAATTTATTTGCTGTTTTATAGTTTAACTAAATCTTCATGGGATCCACATCTAAAAAGGAATATGATACATAATTATCTTGATTCTTAATTCTAAAAAGTATTAAGTATGAAAAGTTGATTATTTGAAGATTTAAATTATCCAAAATAGTGGTCCCAAATATTTATTCTTACTATTTTCACAATGTCTTATTAACCTTTTATTGTAAATGGAACAGAAAATGGGTAAACTGTTACTACAATACTCATTCAATCTTGCAAAGATTTGCTTTGCTCTGAACATATAGTTATTGAGTTTCTATTGCATTTTGCGAATATATGAGCAATTTAAAAATAAGAGCTATTTAGCCAATCTACCTTGGGAAAAGTAACATTATGCTTTTTTTATCTAGCGGAAATTTGTTCATATGAGAATGTTTTAATAATTACCTTATTATGCTACTGTTTTGTGTTAACAGAATCTTGAAAACCACATTTTTTTTTAAATTTTCATTTAACAAAAACATTTTTGTTTGAAAAAATAATATATTTTACCGCATCAAAACTTTCAAAGAAAAGTTGTTTCAAAATCACTCTCATAACTTTTTCTGATTAACTTATAAATTAAAAGAGAGAAGGTGTCTTTGATAATCCATTTATAATCTTAAGGAATATTACTCTTGTCTAAGTCTATATGTTTGTTGATAAATAATTACAGGTTTTTTAACTGCAGCAGAATCCTGGTTATCAAAAATGCATAGGCTCAACGTATAAAAAAAATGAATAAATAATTCATAAAAAACCGACCGGTTCATTATGCACCAAGCGAAACATGTAAAGTAAAAGTGATGTTAAAACTCCTGAGAAGACCTAGATTTGAAAGCTACTTAAGGTTAAAAAGCTTTTAAAAAATAATGAATAAAAAGAATTTAGAATTAATGTATATCAAAATCCTGTATTGAAAACAGTTATTCATAATGATCTACTTTTCTCGTGTTTATCAAGTTGAGTGATAAAGTTGCACCTGCCAGATTTCTTTAACATATTTGATTCATTTAATTTTGATTGGTAGATGAAGTGATGTATATACAGGAGTAATGATTCGTTAATAGCACAGCTATACTTCTTTTGTTTTTTCTTGATAATAATATATATTTTAATTCATAATATATTTTGTCATTCAAAATTCACTGGAAATAAATTGTTATCAGTTATTTTAACTTCTTTTTTTCAGTTTCATTAGTAAAAAGAAGGGACTTGTTTTTTTTAATAACTGTGATCCTGCTGTAATTGTTATAACTGGCTGCCTGATTAATAGTTTTTTGTTCTTATTTCATAGATATATATAAAGTCCCAAGAAAGTATTTGCAAGGACTAGAAAATGTTCCTAAGAAAAAATGACATTCTTTATTGTTTTTAAAGAAATAATTATTCTAAGCTTAATTATTATTTATAATAAATAAAGATATTTATTTGAGAAACTCCATGAATATTGTATTATTTATATTTGATGGTCTTTACCTTTTTCTTTCTTTCTTTCTTCAAATGCTTCATATGTTAGCAGCATTCATTCATAGCAGCAAATGTGTATTAAAAATAAAAAATGTGTGTATTATACAATTACATATTGCTTTTGTAATTAGAGCACAAAATTATTGTTGACTTTTTTAAAATATTCAAATGTTGAAGGGAAAAAAAACTGATTAGCAGAGATGCATTTTGGTACCAAAATATGTGCAAAATATTTTCTCTCACCTTCTTTCTTACATTAAGGGATAATATTCATTATCCAAAAAGTTTTCTATAAAATTTATAAGCAATATTTATAGTTTATTATCAATTGTTAATGGAGTAAAATCACAAAATTTTTTGGTACATAAAGAATATGATAAATACTTATGTTTTCAATTCTATTAGGTGTTTGAAATTGAAATGTCCATCTCTTTATCTAGTTTTAAGTAGAAAGGTTAAAACGAATTATTTTTTGTTTAAAAAAATTTTTAAAGCATCCACATTTAATAGTAAATAATAGTTTTGTATTGCAGTTTTGTTTATTTTTCAGATTTTAAGCATTAACTTTTAAATGTGCAGAAAAATTTACAGAAAAATTTGAGTAAAAAAAAAAGCCATAGTTTTCATTGTATAATTTACCAAAGTGTCTGAAATCTTAATAATCCTATGAGTAACTTAAAACTATGCAAATGTTAGTGGAAGGCAAATGTCAATAATAAATATATTTATTTGAATGAATATGATACATTCTGCTAATTAAATGCCTTAGGTTTGCTAAACTTTTTTTTTCTTCAAATAACTAAGAATTTACAAAATTGGGATTAGAAAAGTTGTGTTTCTGAAGTCAATTAAAATAAGACCTTAATCAAAAAATGTTTTATTTGTAAAAATCAATCGTAAACATATAAAGTGATTTTTTAATGAATACTTGTTTAAATAATACAACATATTACAGTATACTCCAAAAAACTTGTATAATGTTTCAGAACATTTAAAATATTTTTCTCAAAATAAACTGTTTTAGTATTTTAATATAAATACGTGGGGCAAATATATTTTTTGGTATAATTAAGTTTCTCAAATAAATATGGCAATTAAACTTGACTAAGTATATTAAAAAAATTATGTTGAAAATTCCTTTAATCATTTTTTCCCAAAACAAATCAGAGTGTTTAGTATTTTTCTAATATGTAGCAAATTGTGTTTATAAAGCAGTTTTTACCATCCTTTACATAAATTTTAAACACCTGAACAAGTTTATGCAGAATTTTCTCTGTAATAGATTAAATTAAAATTGAATAAGTTGGGAAAAATTAGCTGTATGGGAAAGTAGCTATGAAAAATAAAAAAATAAGAAAAATTCTACTCAAATACTCAGAGAGTTATTTATATTTAAAATAGATTTATTCTTATGGCCTAAAACTTCTTCCTTTTCATTATTTTAAAGCTTCTAATTTAAATTTTATTTGTTATTTTAAATCTTCATAAAAAATGAATTTTCGTAAAAATATTCTTGCACTAATACTCAGAGGTTTAATATATGAAAAAATAGACATATTCTCTTGCCCTAAGACTTCTTTCTTTACCTTATTTAAGAAATTTTAAATTTTGTCTTTTTTCTTTTTTTTTTTAAATTTTGACATCAATAAAAAAAGTGTATTCTAAAGAATAGTAGTTTTTAAAAGTTGTACCATTAAAGAGAAAATTGATGTATTTTCAATGTTTTTTTTTTTTTTTTTTTGTACCTTTTTAGAAAAGAATATACAAACATTTTCATTATGTAAACACAAATTTCTTCTTTTCAATATTGAAAAGTGAATCTAGTTTTACTGCATCTTCTTTGAAGACTCCTTCTAGCCACTTGAGCTAATTCATGACATAGATTTAAAAATTTGATTGCTTACAGATTTTAATTTATAACTTCAAAGTTGTGTTTTTTTATTTACATGGGTTTTGACGATAAGTGAAATGAAAGCCTCTTGCATTGCGAACTCCATTGGAGACAAATCTCACTAGGAATGGCCCAGGTGTAGAATCTAGAAATAAAAGTAAATGTACAATAATGGAGAGAAAAAAAGCCTGTATCAAGCATAGATGAAAATAAGCATGCTGTTTTATTCGTGATAAACAAGTATTGCCATCATTAGTATCAAAACACATAATTTAAAATCTATTATTATAGAACTTCTGGGATTAGCACTGATGATAGCACTTGTTACAGACATTAAATTATTTTTGGATTCATAATTTTCTACTATTTTACATCTATATATTTTTCAACATCTTGCGATTTAACATAATATGTAATAGGCTGTTAAAAAATAACCACACTGCCAAAAAGTTTCTATCAAGCACACTTCAAAATTTTTTTAAAGTATTCAAATGAAACCTAAAATTCATTGATTGATAAAAAATGATTGAGATCAATTTCTGAGAACTTGGGGTTTTCAATGTGCTATGGAATAGGGGGATTATTCACTAATTAATTTTGTTAAGTTATAAGTTTGGAGTTCCTATTGCCAGTTTTACTGTCTCTTTCAGATTTATATCATGTACTAGTTTTATTTTTGTCTAGTAGTATAATCTTATTGAATTAAAACTTAATTGTTACTAATATTCTATTATTTTCAAGATAATTTGATCATTTTTTTAAATTCTATATTTTCAAACTTGTTCACCTTTTAGTGCTATAATACATCAACCGTATTTTCAGTAAAAGTTTAAAATTCTTACTGTGAATCCTTATTATGTAGTATATTATATGAGTATTATAGGAGTTATAAGTCTCTGGTTCCTATTGCCAGTTTTACAGTCTCTTTCAGATTTATATTATGTACTAGTTTTATTTTTGTCTAGTAGTATAATCTTATTGAATTAAAACTGAAATGTTACTAATATTCTATTATTTTTAAAATTGATTGCTTTTTAAATTCTATATTTTCTAACTTGTTCACCTTTTAGTGGTATAATACATCAATCGTTTTTTCAGTAAAAGTTTAAAATTCTCATTGTGAATCCTTAGTATATTAAAATTGATATTTTTCATTCATGAAGTAGTATTTAAATTTAAACATTGTTAGTTAATAAATTTGTTGCTCATTAACTAGTTTTCTACCTTATTTTTCAAATGCAATATTTTAATTTTGCATGTTTTTTTCTCTATTTTTTGCATTCTTATTGTTGTTTAAAATACTAATAACAGCTCCCTGTTTTTCATTATCCTAGTTTGTGTTTATTTAATTTCTTTCTTTATTAATTCGAATTGAAAGATAACTCTTCCTTTTTATAGTAAATATCTTCTGTAAATAAATATAGTATATAGTCCTTATATAATTTATAAACTTTAAAAAACTGTGAAGTTGAAACTAAATAATTTAGCTTTTAATTATTATTCAGAAATACAAATATCAGAATCAATAGTATTAAAACATGTAATAATCTTGTGATTACAAATTAATTATATAGTTTATATTTTTTATAGAGTATTTAATATTGATCTGTGTATAGTATTAGTTTAACTGTATGTATCTTTCTGAGAGAAAATATTTTTATACCTGTAAGTATGTAGGTAGAAGTCACATTGACTTGATTAGCTATTGGTCGGTTGGCTGGTCCTGTACTTGCAACTCTACCAGAACAAACTCTTATGCCAGTGAAAAGAACATAATCATCATGGCATTCAGCTGCCACTGGACCTGTCAGTGCTGTTGCTGTGGCACTTGTTGTCCCTGGCAGTGCACCAACTGCAAAAGGAGCCACATTCCTTCCTTCTGCGGATAACTGATAAGTGATAGAACAAAAACCTGGTTCTTTTCTGATACAGATAACATAATCCATATTATTTGGATATCCTAGACCCAAAAGACTTGTTTCATCATAATTGAAGCTTTTAATAGAACCTCTTGTTCCTCTGTGGTATTGAAGGCAGTGTGGAGGTGCTAAAATGAATAAAAAGTTAGTGGTTGTGTCGACACTTTAAGTTACACATTCTCTGTATTATGTAATTAAAATGTTTTTCAAAAATTATTTTTTTTCAAATGCTATTTTTCAAGATGATAGATATTTTAGTAGTTTTGATAGTTAGCTGTCTAGGCTTAACCACCCTCCTGAAAAAACTGAACAACTCTAGTTGTAAACTCTCTAAAAAGACCTTCCAAAATGTATCCCTTTATCTTACTAATTTTAAATTCTCCAACAGATTTGTTTTGTTGGAAAAGTAAAAGGATAAGTTTTTTCCAGCCTAAGCTGCCCATTACTGTCAATGTATTCATACCTTCGCATACCCACTTTATTTTTCCATTTAAATTATCTTAATTTATTTTCATCTGTTTTTAAACGAGTTTCCCATTTATTTGAAAATTAAACAATACAATGAAAATTAAGCAATAACAGTCTTCAGTCCAGATATAGGTTTTATTTTTTGATAAATATTATTAGATCAATGGAGATGAAAATGTAATCTCGCTAAGTGCGTTATTTAAGTATGCAAGTACGCTCACCTTTCTATGGGGTGAACCGGGTACAAATCCCAGCGATGGCTGGTCGATGCAAGCTGGGTGCGGCATTCGAATCGACCAGCCATCGTTGAGATTCAAACCCGTTTCTCGTCATTGAAAGGCGAGCTCACTGAGTTAACATTTTTATCTCTAATGATCTACTAATATTTATAAAAAAGTAAAACCTATATCTTGACTGAAGGCTGTTATAGTTGTATCATTGTACTGTTTAATTGTCAAATAAGTGGTATACACGTTTAAAATTGTTTGGCCGATCGATTTGAATTCCACACCCGGCTTACATCGACTACAGTGTTCACGTAAAATATCATTAGTGGTAGATGGATCATGGGATAGAGTCCCCTTGTCAGACTAACAGTGGGAGATTTTCGTGATTTTCCTCTCGATCTAACTCAAATGCTGGTTAGATACATCAAAAAGTCCTTAAGAAGGCAAAATTTATCACAATACTTCATTCAGAAAACCCCTTGTCTTCTGGATTGTGTTCAAAATGACAAAGCTACGACGTTGAACATCGGTAGTCATAAACTCGAAATTTTGTCGGCTGTTCAACGACGGTTATAAAACAAAACAAAATAGGTCATGGATGAATTGAACTACTTATATGCATCTGATACAAAATGAAAACTGTTTTGAATAAAATATCCATTAGCGTAAAAATACATTTCATTTAGTACTTTTTCTAGGATTAGTATTTACTATTTTGATATGAAAAGCGCAAAAAAGATAATTTTATTGGTCTTCCTTTGGCAAAAAATTGAGATTAGAAGTTTATTTTAAAAACTTGAACAAAAGGTGTAGGGTTGTTATCTTGGTTTTCTTAAAAGAAAATTTTTTATAATAAACATATTTGTAGAAAAAAATCAGAAAATTGACAAAAATTTATTGAAACTGAGTAAAATATTGTATATGAAATATCTTACCTGCTTCTCTGCTTGCACATCTTACTTGAGTAGCTTTAATGTTGAATTTTCTTCCATAAGTTCCTACCATAGTCACATGCAAACTAATTGCTCCAGAGTCTTCAACATCTACATAATCTATCAATAACAAAGTTAAGTTTAAAACATGACCTTTGTAAATTTCATTGATTCTGTGTGCTATGAATTTTAAGAATGTAACATGATATGCGATATTTAATTAAAAATGTCAGAGTAAAATAAAGTTTTCTTGGAACTATGAAAAGTCAAAAGTATTTATTGATTCGTAGATAGAACAATAAGACCACATGGTTAAACATGAACAATTCGTATATCCTATAAAGCATTAAATTTTGAAAAAGTTGGCTTAAACAGCAACTGAAGCAAAAATAGAAAATATTTCGTGATGGTATTATTTTTGTATTCTTTGTTACATGTATTTATTTAATTCAGAATTAATTAAAGTAGTTCCCATTCTAATGTAATTTGTTAAAGAAATGATCATATTACAATATGATTTATAACAATGATCATAATTAGAACATATTTTATAGATTATTGAATTTCATTTTATATAATTTTTATTTTTCATTTGCCTTTTGATAGTTATTAATTCATAAGTGAAATGCTGCATGTAGTAAAGGCTTCAGTCCTTCTAATTTCTTGAAGAAAGTTGATAAAAAAAAAGTTAGTTTATTCAGTATGAAAAATTTGAAAAGAATACAGTGCTTAGACCAGCGGAAATTATTATTATTATTTTATTTTTTTTGTTGTTGCTGTGGAACACTAAATGATCGTTATTCTTTTGGCGAAACCACGAGACGCGATGCATTTCATTAGCAATTGTAAACATATAAATATCGCTGGATCATTAATTATTTAGGAAGTATGTAATGATCTAAATTTTATTAATTGGTTTGGATGAAGAATGTAATTCATGCCGTTTTATCAATATTAATCTTGAAATTGGATTTTATCTCAGACAATTGAATTCACAGGCCTGAAGCGACATCTAGTCTAGAACTTCGTTTGATTTTACAGTAAGCATAAACTAAAACTTAATGAGTATATTATGATTTCCGTTAAAGTGTAAACAAACAAGGACGAAAATTAACGATGAGAATGGTAAAACGTTGAGAAACATATTTCTGCAATGTTGAATTTGATGGTTATTTTCATTTGACACGAAATACTGATGCTATTTTTCAAAGATGCATATCCTTTTCATTATATTGTTATTTAAAAAAAAAACATTGCTTTGAATTTTCATAAAAATAACAGAAATATTAATTAATATAGGATTATTAATTGGATGTAAATTTAATTGCTGATTTCAAAAATCATAAATGATTAAAAAGAATTTCTAACTTTTGGAGCCCCTGTGACCATTCCACGGTACCCCAGAGTTTCACAGAGCACCATTTGGGAACTGCTGGCTTAGACCATAAATATAATTTTTTTTTTCTCGCAGATTAATAGGAAAAGTATAAAAATGTATTATTTAACTCTCTGCATCCATCTATCCAATTATACTTACAATGCTGCCCACTGTTTAGTCCACATATTTTTGGAATAAGATTGTTTTCATTTTGACCAGTGATCACGAGCATGTCTTGTGAGCAGTTTCCTTCAATAGGACGGGCAAGATCGAAATCTAGGAATTCTAGTTTGATTTGGCAGATGGCTTCAGAATGTTTAATGATACGCATCTTGCATGTTCCTTCTTCTTCGTATGGTTCTGGAAAACTTGGACTGCGGAAATAAGAGACCACCTCACTTGTAGATCCACCACATACTACATCAACTGAAAGTAAATGATCGTCTGATAAAGAATAGAAATCTTGGGCAAGATATATTTTATTTTTATAAAATATATTCGTAAAATCATAGTAATAAAGTAAAAGCTAATCTCAAACAAATTTTTAACGTATGTGATTAAAATAGAAAGGGTGAAAAAAGTTATCTGTGGTTTTCTGCGAGTAAATATTATGGTAATATTTTAAAATTTGCTCAAATATACTTAATAGCTTGAAAATGGCGATATCTAAACATCTATAATTTAGTACAGTTTTAGAATATAACAAATGTTTTTTTTTTTTTATAAATTGTTGTGTGTACTTTGATTTTGAATATGTTAGAACCACTAATTAATATGTTGGCTTGTGATGCGTAATATTTTGGAAATAACTCGTTCTCTAAATTTTTTTTTTTAGTGAATAATCCAGAAATAGGCCAATTAATCATTAAAAATGTATTACATTTTTAAAAAAAATGCTATCATTAAATTTAATATTACATGTGCAATTGAACTCGCCTATCTCGAACCTGTTTTTCTTTAAAAGCTCTATATTTCTAAAGCTCCCTAAATTTACAGTCTTATTTCAATATATTTTCCCTGTTTACCTAAAAAAAAAGTGTTGCCTTAAAAATCACTACGTCTTGAATTACAGTCTTTTTAACTGACCGTTTTGTTACAAAGTAAACGTTTTTTCGCTGAGCAAATAGTGAAAGTTTTTAATTGACCATTTCTTAAAACCTCAATTACTCAGAACATTTCATCTCGCTTTTTGTCGTTTTTTTCTTCTTTTCTTTTGCGAGATTTGAGCTAAGTTAGACTGTACTGGAAAAAGAAATGAAATGTGTCCTTGTTGTGAAGTAAAATTCATGTAACTTTTCAAATTATTTGAAGAAATTCATTGCAAACTTAAATGCATAAAGATTTTTCATTTATACTTATATCAGTAGTTTCTAAAAACTTTTAAAAATTCTACTCTCCAGCTTGCTATCTAGAATTGATCAATTTATTTGCCCTAGTACTTACAAATACAACAAACACCTTCTTGAGGACATCTGCCCATGGGTGTTCCTCCTGATACTACACAATCTGTTGTATCATAACATGTCCCTTGCCTGGAATCGGCTGCCTCACATGCATTGGAAACATCCGGACTTTGTTGATCACCACTTATTGGTCTTCTCAAAGAACTAAAATAGTAAGTTGCTGCTACGACGGGTTGAGATAATAGAGCTGTCAAAGATTTAAAAAAAAAAAAGTGTTCAGTTATTTTGTCAGTTAAATTTAAATAACAATTAACATTTTAAATTATAAGTAATACCATTTTATAATACAAGATAATAATATATAAATAATACAAGATGCTTATTCTACAATTTTTTTCCCTTTATAATTTGAGTTATACGAAGCATAGTCGATTATTGGCGTGGGAAACAGGGTACCAATATGTCCTCCTCAATCATAGGCGTATGCATGAGGCGTACCTCAAGGTTTGTCATGGCCCACCCTAATGCGTTTCAATACAAAAAAATTTTCTTTTTTAGCTTTCATGGTTTAAAATTCACAAAATGTATAAAAATATGATACAAAGATTAATTAACTGATCTACATTTTCATAATTTGCATTATCTCTTTATTATTATTATTATTGATTTACTTTTCTTGTTGTTGAAGTTTTTAAGTTACTCTATAGCAATAGATACAATGTGTATTCCATTTACTGTATTATGGCCGAAACAGGTCTTCATAACAGTTTCTCCACCTAAATTATCATTATAGGAAAATAAATATTTAAAAATCATTATCTGTTTATTCCATTGTAATTTTCTTTTGAGAAAAATATGTAATTGGATAATAAAAGAGTTGTGAGCATATGGATAAATGAGAAATGCGTGAACTGCTTTATGAATTCTATATTTAACCTTTATTTTAACAATTTGTAGCTTTTTAATCATTTGATTTATTTATAATTGGGATATTATAAATTAATTATAAAAGAAATAATGAGTTCCCGATCATTTTATGCTGTAATTTTGCACAAAACGAGGTCGTTTGTTTATTTTTATCTATCTTTTAAAAATTATTTTAAAGAATTTAAGCTGCTTATCTCTCTCGTTTGATAGTTTAAAATTTTAGAAATTTAAAATTAGTAAAAAGAAACGGGATACGTTCATGACTGTTTCGTGTAGTACAATTTTACGCAAAACAAGATTTTATTTTATTTAATTATTATTAATATTGTACTGTAAGTGTAAGTGCAACTGTAAGTGAAATTTCTTCAAAAATATCCTCGTGTGACCGTATTACCGTTTTTTACTTAAACTTGCCCTCTGATCAGCGCTCAAGCTGGCCTTGGGTACCGTTTTCAGTGTTTGCGAAAAATTTTATAATGCGAATTCAGTGATGTGAGTGAAAGCCCTGATTGGTGAAATACATTTTTCCCCGCGAAAACTCGCGATCGGTTCTCCCTGACACGCCAGTTTTTCGCTAAATATATTTATCCAATCAGGGTCTCAATCTTCCTTGACTGTGATCAGAGTTGCGTGAATTGTATGCAGTGAGAATGACTATACGAATATTCTTTTTTTTTTTTACAGAAATTGAAAAACGCTTGGCAACTCAACCCGCCTTGATCGTTATGCTTCCTCCTTCGCCATTTCGTTTGAATTAATGTCGTTTAAATTTAATTAAATTTGTTATTAAACTGTGACTCTTCAATTAAAATCCAAGATGAGTTACTCAAGAGGTGCTCCTAATATTGATGGAATGACTTCTTTAAAGGTGGATAACTTAACGTACCGCACTACACCTGAAGATTTAAAACGAGTTTTTGAAAAGTACGGCGATGTTGGAGATGTTTATATTCCAAGACATCCATATACCAGAGAGAGCAGAGGGTTTGCTTTTGTTCGCTTTTACGATAATCGAGATGCAGAAGACGCTATGGATTCTTTGGATGGCTATATCTTAGATGGACGTGAATTGAGAGTTCAAATGGCTAGATATGGTCGACCTGGTGATCCTAGGCGAGGTTCAAGATCAAGACGCCGGCGTTCCCGCTCCAGATCACGTAGCAGAAGCCGACGACGATCTCGCTCCAGATCTAGGTAGCAATTCTAATTATATATTGAATAGTAAAATTTGAATCTTAATTTCAGAAGTTCTCTATTCTTTGTTCATTTATTGTTTCTCTCGATTTCCAGACAATCATTCTGAATAGGTTCTTTCGTCAACTTTAACTACTTATAACGTCTTGGTTTTTAAATTCTTATAAATTTTTATTTCGTTTCAATAAAATAACTAAGCGTATAATTCTTTCAATGATTATTATTTTCTGTCTATCGAAACTGAAAGTGTTATGTTCATAATTACCTTTACAAAGGCTAATTACCTTTAAAAGGGCTTATCTAAAGGGGCTATTTGCAATGTGTACGTAATAATCATAAGGGCGACAAAAGATTATTATATTTACAGAAAATTTAAAAATGTCATTCTTTTTCATTTTCAGTCTCTAATTTTATTTATTAGTATAGTTTGAAATATAATTTTACATGTTATTTCTCTTAATTATTTGTTTGGATAAAACCTTTATAATCAATGAAAAGGAATCACTCTGAAGAATATTTTTGTAATTAATTATGTATAGATGTTTTTGTCGACCTAAGGTTTCCTTTTAAAAAAATAATTTATTTTTACAGGAGGTCCAGATCAAGATCACGATCAAGACGTCATCGTAGTCGCTCTAGAAGTCGTTCTGGTAGTCGTCATCGTCGAGATGAGAGGTAAGTTTATTCTTTCTTTTTCGCGTGCAAATGCTAATGTCGGGCTTAACTTAATTCTCTTTTCTAATGTTTTTTAAACAAGCAATTGTCTTTTTTTTTGTTGTTGTCAGATACTAAAATCCACAAGATGTATTAGTGAAAAAATTTAAAAGAAAATCAGTTAGAGCAAGTGTTAAGTCAGGGGTCTGTCCAGGGTAAATTTACTGCCGTTAAGCGGTAGTTTCACAAATTCAATTTTAGGAAAAACGGTAGTTTCACAAAATACTTTTAACATATTTTCGAAAAATATTGAAATATTTTTGAAAATATTTACTTATTTTACCAGATTTTTGTGTTGATTTTTTAATATAATTTTTAAATTTCACAAATTATGTCTAAATTTTCGCAAAATAGGTACCTCTAAAAAAAACCTAGACAGACCCCTGTATGTATTTTGTAAGATCAGAATAAGGCGTAACTGGAAAATTTATGTGGAATTTGTTATTGGTTGCAAAAATCGAGGAATCGGATATAATTGGATATAAAAAGTTTTTTGTTTCGTATTTTTTTAGTTAGTTAGTATAAATGTTGGCATGTGGAACTTTCTTGAATACTGTGTCAACAAAATTAGGAAAAAGAACAAAAAATGTTCTTAAACAATATGAAATAATATATTTGCTATAAGAAGAAAGTGTATACTTTTTCTTTAATGATCCTTATAGCATAGAAATTTATAAAATGCCATTTCCATATATAGTGTTTTGTCATCAATAGCAGAGAAACCGATAGATTTTGAATAGATGTGAATAAATTAAAATGTATATGAGATGAGAATAAATCGATGAAAATAGAGAATATTTAATTAAATGTGGAAAATAGATGAGGATAAATTAAAATGTAGGAGTTCTTATGTTACAAGGGCTTGTGACAGGGATGTACCGAATATTCAGTTATTGAAGTTGACTGAATAGCAACATTTTTTAGATTAAAAATCATCAATAAATATTTATGTAGAAGTAAGTTTAGTCATTGAAAGATAATCATAACTTAGATATATTATTGGTATACCTTATACCAATGAAACATGCAGGGGAAAAAACTTTAATAGTAATGTTTAAGACAATTATATATAAAGATAATTAAAAATATTTAAGATTCTGAAAACTTACACTAAAGCTGTAAAGTTGAAAAAAAGAAATAAAAAAAAATCCTATTAATTCTTAAAACAAAACTTTAATGCTTAAATGTTAGTTACAGAAGCAAAATAGAAAAAGTGAAAGTGTGAATTTTTTTGAAGCTAAGCATTTCATTTTTTCAATTTCCTTATTTTCAAGAAAAAGTGATGATTAAAGTGATTAAGTGATGATAAGTCTTATAGAAACCCTCTTAACTGCTGCCTCCTAATAAAAGCTACTTTTGAAAAAGGAAAAGGCTTGATAGAAACCAAAACTAAATATTATGTATTTTTAGAAAAAATGAACTTAAAAGAATTAAGTCGTTAGAAATGCTCTGTAATAAATGTTGTCTTGATAAATTTTGTTGAGGTAAGAGATATTACTGACAAAAATGTGAAATTAATATCAACCAGAGTAATATCAACCAAATTAATATCAACCATATCAATCAGACCTGACAATACATCACTTATTTATATTTTGGCACTTATCAGCAGACATAGGTAAAATAAGAAAATTTCTGTGAACTCAAAATTTCTATTAAAAAACTTTCGGCACATATTAATTAACTCTTATGACTTGTATTGGCCCTTTTGTTGCCGCTTTATTTTGGCAAAATTAATTTTAAAATCAATTTTTTTTTTTAATTTTTATATATTTTTTTTAATTTTTTATTTGGCAAAAAGCTGAAATGCTTAAAACAGAAATCCAAGAATGTTATGTGCAAAAACACTTTTTACATAATAGAAAAATATCTGAAATATGAGCAAGAAAAAGGTGTATATAGGAAGTATTTATCTACAGAATGTTATTAACACTTTAATAAAAATATTAGTGCGAGATTTTATTAATTTATTTAAATTGTGTGATTAAGAATCTATGTGTGATTTTTAAATATACGAATCTGGCGAATGCGAATCTCAGCATTTAATTTAAAAATCAGGTGATTACAAAATCTGTTTGATTTGAAATTTTGTTGTGAATCTTCAGTATTTTAAAAACTGAGGGTTGGGGTCCGCAGATAATCAGATATGATGTTGACATTTTAACTTGATTAACTTCAGTGAAAAATTTATTTTCAGACATGGAAACTATTAAAAAATTTTAACTTCTATTTAATTTCTTATTATTATAGGCATAAGATTCTTCCGACTTGGAATTTCCGACTGTTAAATTGAAGAAATTGTTAAATTGAAGAAATGCTTTGTTGAATGTGTATTTTTTTAACATTTAAAATTTTTTTTTTGTTTTACTTCAGAGATACACAACCACTTTTAGGTAGCTAATTGATCTTTTCCTCCTTTGCATTTCCTTCCTTTTAAATTACAAAGCAAATTATGGTGAATTTATCAAAACAAAAAAAATGTAGCTTAAAATTTTCTTGTCTGAAAGGTAACATTTATTTAGAAAAAGAAATTTGTTATTAATACATTATTAGATAAATGTTATGATTATTGTTGGAATTTGAAATTGTTTTGTAATTTATCTTATAACTTATGGATTTTTTTCTTTTTTTTTAGTTGATTCGTACAAATTCATAAGCAATTACATTTCATTGAAACGCTGAACCCATTGCACAAATCGAAATTAATAAAAGATTTTGATACTTAAAGAATGACTGTGAACAAGATCAGTGCCTACAGAGAGCATGACAGAGTTCCTGTTAGGAGCATTTTGCTACTTTTTCGATGCTCCCTCGTATCAAAGAGAACAAAGAACACTTGAAATCGTCAGGGAATTTTAATTTGACTCTAAAATGTGGGGAATAGTCAGGTTAATTTGCAATTTATTAAAATTAAAGAGAAAAGAAAAATTGGAAAATGCCTACATCATATAAAAATGTCACATTTTAGTAGAACTTTTGTTTCCTTCCTCATTCGATTATATTTTTTACATACAAAATCTGATATTTAATGCAGGAAATAAACAAGGCCACTTTGAGTATTGGAAGGGCACTTACCACCATTAAAATTATCAAAATCTGTAATAGATTATGTAACAACTGAATTTGAGCCTTGATTTTTAAATTACTTTTTTATGCTAATTTTTGTGTATACTTAGCAAAGTAATTTTCACTCATTATAAAAATAATAGAAAACTTTTACACTTTTGAAAATTAATTAAGCTTTGCATAGATTTGATAGACAATCTTTGCATAGATTTTCTTAAAAAAAAAGTCAACTGAAAAAATGGATTTATTGATAAACAACTCTAGAGCTTTTTTTTTTATAGGAAAACCACATTTAACAGTACATATTTATATAAATAGTATTTATTTAAAAAAAATAAATAATTGTAAAATTTAAATAACTAAAGAACTTCTTAATATGCGGAGCCCCCAAGTAAAAAATGTGAATTATTTAACTCTGGGTGCGAATATCCTGCAGATTTTAACTGTAACTAGACAACTTTAAAACATCTTACAAAAAATGAAGGAGAGACATGAAAAATTTGTTTCATTATTATAAATAACTAAATAAATCAGAAGTAGACTCTTCATTAGAACACATGTTTAAAAAAAAGAACTTTTTCCTGAAAATGAATCCTGGTCCTGAATTGCAGCTTGATTTTACAAAAGAGAAAAGGTGGGTGCATTTATTGGGGTCAAAGGAAAGATGGGGCAGGTCGCCCTTCTAAAAATGATTAGGGAGAACACTGACATTACAAATAAGGAAATCAAAGTTTTCCAATGGAAAATTACATGACCTAGATAAAATATGGTCTGAACTTTCTTTGAAGTCTTCCTGATATATCTGGATAAGTTAGCAATTTTTTTTTTTTTTTTAAATTTAGTGGGGACCCTGTTTTCTTGTATAATTTTAAATATATGTTGGATAGTTAGGGGCCAAATTATCAACCTTTGTGGGCAATTTTCGGCCCATCAGTCTTAGGTTTTGCACTACTCTTGTTTAATTTTATTCTCTTTAATTATAATTTATAATATGAAGCTTGACAGTTTGTCAGACTTTTTGTTCTTTTCCTGCATTCATGCTTGTTATGTAAAATAATTTATCTAGTAAATGTATCTAACATATAGTATTAGGTTATGGCAGGGATGGCGAACCAGTGGCACACGTGCCATTTATGGCACGCGACACAATATTTTGGGCACGCCACCAATCACAAAGTTTACTATGAAGCATATTAACAATTCAATTAAAATTCACAACAAAAGAACAATTAATGCCAAAAAAGCAATTAATAACCATAAAAAAACAAGCGAAGAATAAATAGCTAGCAAAAAAAATAACAATTCTGCTTAAACTAACATCTTATAACCCTAATATAAGTTATTTGTCATTTAATCTGCAACAACGGAAGTCACACTGATGTTACTTTAAGTTGAATTACGCGTATAACTGAGACGTTACGAAAGTTGAGAATTGCATTTTTGTGAAAGATAGTATTTAGTATTATTATTTACCCAATTTGAGAGTTTTGAGTTGATAGTATTTAGTATTATTATTTACCCAATAATCACGAAATCAAAACTAATTGTCGGCACGTCTATGACCTCATTAAAATATATTTTAGAAAAAATGGCACGTTGGGGCATGAAGGTTCGCCACCCCTGGGTTATGGTATTTGTTTATTACTGGACATGATTTAATTACATATATTTTTTCAGATCTAGATCTGATAGTGCTGGGAAAAAGAAGAGAGATAGTAAGTCCAAAAGCCGATCTAGGAGCATAAGTAGAGATAAAAATGGTGAAAGGGAAAGAAGTTTAAGTCGAAGCAAGTCTCGAAGTAGAAGCAGAAGTGCAAGCCTTGATAAGGAAGTCAAGAATGATATTGACTTGAGAGATGGAAGCCGAAGTCGATCTCACAGCATTGAAGCTGAAATTTAAGCTCCATTAGTAACCACAAGAATTCATCTGTCATCTTCTAAAATGTGAAAGTGCAGCCCTTTTTTAAAGGTTATAATTTTTTTTTTATATGTACTTTTTTGGCATGAACTATCACTCCAAAAGTGTTAAAACTTTATAATTAGTTCATACATATTATTTGATATTCATGCATAATGGTTCATTTAATTTAACTACTTCGCAGCTTCGAGTAAATGTGCTAAAGGATTGATAGGTATGTTTAAAATTAAAATTGCCTGCTAATATGAATCATGTTAAAAAAAAATTTCTTGTTACTTTGTATGAAGTGTATTATGATTAAGTATTTTTTGAATAAAAGTAATGTTTTTAAATTTTGATCGTTTATCCAATATTAAATTTATGGTGGAATTTGTGTTTGTGATATAATTTAAACTGCTTGATCTGACAATTTTTGTATTGTCTGTAACCACAGGCGCAGTAGTATGCTGTAATTGGTGAGCTGTGGCAGTCACATGGTGCTGATCCTGTGGTGTGCTGTCCTGATCCTGGTCCGGTTGCTGATTAAATTCCGGGTTCCAGCGTAGCAGTTGTTCCGGGGAATATGTGGCCGAAAGTTTACCTTTCTTTCTCTTTTTGAAAATTTAACTCAAAATTTGAATGAGTTGGAACCCCATTAAATTTAAATTTTAGCCTGAAATATTTGAAGCTATTGCTTTTCAGAAAATAACAGCATGACTTGGCTGGTTTAAATAAGTGAAAATATTTCAAACATAAAGAACTTGAAATAATTTCACTGTTACCGAGATCCCGAATGTATTACGCCAAATGGTAAAGTGTGATTTTTCTTTACAATCTTTTGTATTAAGCACTTATATCTGGGACCTTATGCAAGTACAGCTAATGTGGGTTATTTGTAAGGTATGTAATTGCCTTACAAATATCCTAACAATTTCAGCTTAAGTAAATTTAGAAAATGACTGCTTTCCTTCAACCAATGTCATGTCATAAACATTAAAGTATTTGTTCCAACATTATTTAGGAATTAAACAAAGCATTACCACATTATTTGTCCTTGCATCATGTCAAAGATTTAATAAAAGTTGTTTGTTTAATTGCTAGATTCATTTTCAGGTCGAAGCAGAAAAGTTCAGTTTGTGAAGTAGTAATTTTGTAGATTGATGTCTGATTTATTAGAAAAATAAAAATTTATCAACTGTCATGAAATAAATTGTGGTAGTGTTCATTTATCATAACTAAAAGTAATTCTAAAAAAATTACTGCATATCATACACACTATTAAATTTTTTCTTCAATATGTTACATAGTTAAAGTTTGTAAATAAAGCTCGAAACAAAATTTTTTTTTTTTTATAGTTTCTTTTCATTAAATGTGTAAATCTAATAGACTGTTTTGGTTCAAACTTTTATACACTTAAAACTGTCTTCATTGACTATTCTTTCTGCTCCAATAAGTCATATGATAAAGAAAAAAGATCCATATATCTGTAATCTATAAATTGTCAATTTTGCTCATTTGTAATAGTAAAAATCTAGGAAGTGTTTTAGTATTTTTTTTTGTTATGTAATCCTCTTGTATTATTTTTTGTTTTAGTTATTTTCCAAAATGAAGGCTTGAAACTAAGAAGTGTCTATATGAAATAATAGTGCCTGTTAAAAACAATCGTGCAATATAATGGGAGAACTACATTTTTATCAAACCTGAATGTATATAAATTTTTTTTCAAGGCTCGTTCAATAGACTATTTTAGAGCATGAACCTTTTTAAATTGCATTTTTATGAAAACAAAAATCATTCATGGGCTTTTAGTCAATTCCTGTGATATAATATAATATTCGTGGGTATAAATAAGAAAAACTTATCGTGCGCAAAATTTTTATCCAATGTGATTTTACAATACATAGGATAAAAATTTTCCCTCTATCATGGAAAAAAAACTTTTTTTTTTCCATCAGAACGTTTGGACTCCTGCCTTTTATTTTAGCTTGTAGAAGATATTTTATTTTCCTGCTATTGGGACAATCCTTACAAGAACAGCTCTTGCCCCGTAAATAGGTCTTCACTAACTAAAAAGCGAATTATTATAAGGGTGTGCTCATTCTGCCTTGAAGATTTATAATTTACATAATATTGAAAAAACACTCCTTCAATATTTGCACTTATTATAAAAAAATACTGAATTCTATATCTTAATAAAATGTTTTTTTTTTTACTACACAAAAATACCGAATACATTTGTAAAAAATGTTTTAATAATTGTACACTTTATTGAAAAATGCGTCAAATGTTTTATAAAATGCGTTAATTTATTAAAATAATAAGCACAATTAAAAGCTATTTTAATTTATATAGTACTAAAAAATATTTCTATTTCAATATTTTATAATTTTTCTTTACTACATGAAAAATACTGGATACATCTAAAAATATTTCAATTATTGAAAAATGCGCAAAGTGATCTATAATTAAATTGAAATAAGTAAGGAAAAACAGCTATTCTAATAATGATCTTTCTTGTTTAAAAATTGTAAAAAATACATTCTGTTAAAACATAAGTACAATTTCATTATAGTTTTGTTTTAATACCGTTGTAATTTTTATGATCTATTACGGTCATAATTAATCTTTTGCCGTCGCTTGGCTTTTTCTGCCACTAATTCTTGAATATCTACGAAAAATTACTGAAGAAAGGCTTAAATGTGGTAATATTTTTTGAAATATTTAACCTAGCGACAATCAACAGTTTACAATCAAAAGCTACTAAAACTGTTTACTTGTAAAATTATAAGTATTTTTTATCCTTAATGGAAAAAGTTTTTAGTGATCACGCATTTACAGATTTTTCATATTCTTTCGAAGGCTTCTCAAAACTACTTTCCTTCAATCAATGTATTGTTAGGAATAATAATGAAATCAAAGTGATAAATATTTGATTTCACAGTAAGCTCAATTTATGTTACTTTGGGTGTCATTAGAAAACTTTTTTGAGTAGTATAAGGGAAAAACAAGCAAAAAAATTTATTTTCTTAAAAGAGAAATTTTGAACACCATTCATTCCAAGATCTTCCCATTGGTACCATAAATCAGAAGTAATTATATTCCGTGGTTTATCGCATCAATCTTCTGGATCTAAAAACTAGAAGCAGGGCCTGTCATTTTCCCGCGAATCTCAAGACCATTGTTTTGCGGACTTCCGCGAATTAAAAGCTTATCTGGCGAAATTTGAAAACTTTTGCTAAATCCGATTAACGAGACGTTTACATACATGCGATTTTTCCACAAATTTCTTTTGGTATGGAGGAGTTTTCGTTTACGCCGAAATGGGCTAATATCACGATTCTTATTCATGTGATTTAATATCAAAGATTTTCATATTTAGCTGATTTAAAAGTTGCGATTCGTATTCACGCGATTTAAAAATTGTACATTGCGATTCTTATTTACGGGATTTGAAAATCTAATATCGCATATTATATTCACGGAAGTTTTAAATCCAATGTCGCCATTCGTATTCACGCGATTTAAAAATTGTACATTGCGATTCTTATTTACGGGATTTAAAAATCTAGTATCGCAATTTATATTCACGGAAGTCTAAAATCCAATGTCGCCATTCGTATTCACTCGATTTAAAAATTGTACATTGCGACTCTTATTTACGGGATTTAAAAATCTAATATCGCAATTTATATTCACGGAAGTTTAAAGTCCAATGTCGCCATTCGTATTCACGCGGTTGTAATATCTAACATCAACTTTCGTATTTATACGTGATTTAAAAACTATGCATTCATGTTCACGCTCTCTGAAAATCATACATCGCAAAACTTATTGACGGGATTTAGAAATATATTTGCGCAATTTAAAAAAAAATCCATATAGCGATTCTTGTATGAAGTAATTTTTTCTTGAATTAGTAATATAAAGGTGCAATATTCTTCATTAGTTTAACTATAAATGCTACTTCAAAAAATTATGTTAAATATGAAACATGATTGGAATTTAAATGGATATCGATTTTTTGCTATTAAAATTTTCAGGGTTTTTCACAATTTGTGTCACAATCACCCCTGATTATTTATATTCTGGTCATTAAAAAAATTAAATTTTAGTGATTTACTTTTCAGTTAATTCGCTTGAATGTGTTTTCTTAATGAATGGTAATTCTTGCTTGAATCTACTTTGTTCTAATCACGTTATTTCCCCGATATTACAATGGGTTAATTTGCTCTCTCATATAGGTTACTTAAAGGAAATAATTGAAATGTAACTGAGGAAATTTTTTTTTACATATTTATTATGTTATAATATTTTTGCATTTTAATTATTTACTTTTCTTGCACAAATAGTAGAGTTAAAAGTTGACGGTGTGCAGCCAACACAAAAACATACAAATTTCCAAAACTATGCAAACTCTTAAAATTAAATTCTTCTATTTTCTTAAAATTTAAAATTCCCCCCTCGTTCTTTAATTGCGACTCAAAAAATAAATTAAACATTTTTTCCGACCTTTTGTACGCAGCTGCCGTGGTCGTTCGAATCTAAGAATTTCCCATTAAGTGTAATTTATAACTTTCTGTAATGTTTCTCAAATAGTATATGCTCTCAAATTAGTTATTTAATGTATGAAAACTGACGAGTATGTTAGTTTTAATTCATTACTAAACTTACTCATTTGAATTTGATTGCATGGATTAAAAAAATAATTATTACTTACACATGGGAGACATTTGTATGGAATCGCCAGATTCATCTTGATATACTATTTGTTTGTCTTTGATCAAGTTGATAGCTTTTGCTCCATTTAGGGATCTAACAGAACTTTCGACCAATATTGTTGTGACATAGTGCAGAAATATGTATACTAAAACCTGCAAAATAATAAAAATAAAGGTTGAGAGATGATAGTGCTCCGGAATTCGGAAGTTTCCGGAAATCTAAGTTCCAGAAGTTTCAGAAAATCATCGATCACATTTATGTATAAAAATTCTTGAACTAGAAAAATAATCTTAAAAAATATTAGAACTAGAATTTATACTTGGCATTTCTTTCATTTGTAAATATTTTTTCTGGTAGAATAATAAACGTGATTAGAAATAAAAGTGAACTTATACATAATAATTCATTTAAATTATGCTGCATATCATTTATTTAGAATGTCATGATTTGAAAATATCAATAGTTTAAATTTATCAAAACATTAATTTTTTGAAATGCGTCATTAATTATTTTATTCAAGAAATTTTCAGGATTTTTGAGTTGGGCACATAATCACCCCTGAAGGTTCAAATGAATCATAGGCAGTTGGCTTGGTTTTTATTTATATTTATTTTTTTCTGAAACAATTGCACCAAATGCTGTGGCTATTTGTACCGGTTGACTATAAATTTTACGGTTTCTCTGAAGAATAAGAACTAGATTTATTTGAACGGAAAAAAAATTCCTGCTAGAAAATAGGAAAATTTTCTGTCATTTCCCTTTGATTCGTGTTATCACACTTCAGAAGATAGTAAAGAACTTTCAGATGATCTGATTAGTAGCTGTGTTCACAGTGGTAGAAACTGTGAGTTGGATATCGCTCTGCCTCTATACTTATTAGTAAAAAGAGAAATAAAAAAAAGCTTATATACCCTTGGAGTTGCAACTAATTGGGTGTTAAAAAAATAAGCCAGAAAAAAAAAAAAAAAAAAAANAAAAAAAAAAAAAAAAAAAAAAAAAAAAAAAAAAAAAAAAAAAACGGTAGCCATGAGTGAAAAAAAGTTCGAAGTGTTTTGTTTTATCACTTTTTTTTTTAAAATTCTCGGCCATCGTGATTTTTCTAATTTTGTTTTCCACTTTTATTTATCGTTACAGGCCCGCAGTGGACTGATCGTTAAAGACACAGTTCCCAGCAGATCACCGAAGTCAAGCATCACTGGCTTCGGTCAGTGTGCGGGTGGGTGACCACTTGGATCAGCCTGCGTAGGGACCGAGGGTGTGCGGTATGGGTCCTCGTTAAACTGTTCTACCATAAAGTGTTCGACTTCGCTTGCAGGTCGTCGGGCTACCGAAGTGGGGGTGCCATCCCCTCCGCAGAGGATCAAAATTGTGATGGCATGTCTTCGGATCATCCTCAGGGATGTTTCCCAGACCGTCACCAATAGCCCATTGTGCAGCTCTAGTGCGACGTAAATGAACAACAACAACAATTTATCGTTTGCAACTTAACGTTTTTTGTTACAATCAATTTTGTTCCTTCATTTACGCCCGTCGAGTCATCAGAATAGCTGATTTTTGAGCGCTCCTAACATCTTCGCTCTTAATTACCATTTTCGATATTTTGAAGCGAAATGAAGATTTTAAACCATCTAACTGAATGGGCAGTTGAAAATTATTTATTTAGTGAACCTCTAACTATTTATATCATTAAGAAAAGAACTTCAACCTGTTCAGAAAGTTTTACATTAAGACAAATGTTTTCACAATAAAATGTATATAAGAAAGTAAGCTTTTTGTTATTTAAAAAAGATAAAAGGAAATTAACATTGAATTTTGATTTATTCAAGAGCACAGAAAGTTAATAAAAACTCTGGCAAAAGTGAGTAAGATGCAATAGTGATTTTTTTTAAAAATAATGATTGATTTTTAGTTTTTGTACATTGATTCGTGCTGAGGTTTTAAAGTGACTAATAATCATGTGAGCTTTTGTCTTACAATTACAGAGAAGTGCTTGTTTTGTATTCATTTGCAAACGCTGTGGTTATTCGTATAATGTTGGAATTACAAAGTCTAATTTTCTGTATCTCATTTTAGGACTTCAGTTTAGAAAAAGACATCACGAATGATTCTCCATTGCTAATAATCTTATTGGCTTTCATATGCAAGATTTTTAAAATAGTGTTCAGATAAATTTAATAATTTTTTTTAAAAATGACTTAAAATAACCATGAACCATGGTGATCCTTGTTTTTATTCTTCCGTTTTTCATGCTGGTACGGCGCTTCACATGATTTCTAGTTATAGTGAAATATTTAATTTTTTTTTCTTACTTTGAGAAGTGGTGGTACATTTAGATAAAGTTTACCAAAATGATTTAAAAAATTCTTGGTAAGAAACCGACTATTTATGCCGCTATTTAAACTGCAACAATGTTTTTTTCCCCTTCACTTTAAAGAACTAAATCAGAAGTTCACAAGAATGTGTAGTTTCATACTACAAGATCCGGATGCGACTAAACTGCACCAATCTCAATGTAAAATCAACGAAAATAATTTATCAAGTTCTATAAGTCTTCCTCAAACAATATTTTAATGCTATGGATGTACAAGTTTGCTTTAATTGTAATGCTTTCTCATAATTAGTGTGTGCGATTTTTTTTTTACCAAGTATAAATCTAACATAAACAAAACATAAAACCTTTAACAGATTTTGTCAATCATTATGCATTATTGGCACTTGTGCTCTGTTTTTATAAGATTTGCTTTTAAGTGTACTTCTTATTACAACTTCAAATTCTTAGAACAGAATGTTTTGTCTGACTGATTCTGTTATTTTTTTGTGTGCGGTTTCCTGTAGTCTAACCATGTATCGAAATATAAAGAAAAATATTAGCTAAATATTTGAGTTGACTAAAAATTGTATGCAAAAATGCTTGATGACTGTATCGTAGTTGAAACCTGAAAGAGGCGCCAATTTTGCCGATGACAAACAAGTAATTGTTGAAGTAATGGAGTTTTGAGCTATCTTGGCTTTGTAAGTAATGAATTTAGTAGGAAGAAGCTGAAAAGAAAAGCTTAGCAATTTGTATTTGTTTTTTTTTTCATATTGATAATTAATGAAAATTTTTTGGTTTACTTAAGCTATGTTATGTTATTTTTCAGATAATTTAATATCTGTGAATATATTTAGATATAAAATTAATCTTAAATTCACCTTGTAAATGAATGAAAATTGGTAATTTTATTTTAAAATGAGCAATTATTCAATTTTTGACAAAAATGAATGATAACAAAAGTTTTCTCATCAGGAATCACAAATTAATATTTAAACCAGGAAAAAACCAAAAATGCTATTGAAATCAGACAAATTACAATCGAGGAAGGCAGTTGTACGAGGGGAAAAAACTTTTTTGTTTGCCAGAGGAAACAAAGAAAAGTGAAAATATAACTATTAGACAGACCTTCATGTTTTGGGCTCAAATTAAACACGTTTCAATTTCTTATAAACCCGCCTTCTTTAATTGTGATTCCTCATATTTCAATAGCTCTTTGGTTTTCCACACGTATGTTTTAATTTGTTTTACAATGTTGGGTTGACTGACTTGTGCAAATTATAAATCGTTCAGTCAAAATTTCGATGACTTCCGAATAGCTAAGGCACTTGTCTCTTGTAGAGTTTCACGCCTGATAAAAATACAAGTTTCAGTCGTTCTATGATCGTTACAAATGTAATTTATCGCTTAAGATAAATTTGTCGGCTATCGGAACTCGGACAACTTTGCGACCATCAAGGATTCTAAAATTTCTATTGCAGCTCTGTGTTTAATGACATTTTTCAGTCATTTTCGGATCATTGCAAATGTAATTTATGTCACTATTTTATCGCTAAATGTAATTCATCGCTAATCGAAATTTCGTCATCTTTCCGAGTTGTTAAAATGCTCGAAATTCAAATGGAGCTTTGAGCCTGATGCCAATATAAGTTATAATTGTTTCCTATAAATTGCGTTAGTAACATTTATCACCAATAGAAATCTTTGTCCAATTTTCGACATAAATGCACTAACATACAAAAGTAAAAAGAAGCAATGATAAAATAAAATTAAAAATGTAAAAACTATGTTTTTTAAATAAATTTGTAGAAAAGATTTTTTTCGCTGATATTCTTTTATTTGATAATCGTCGTTGAACAGTCGACTCAATTTTGGGTTTGCGACTACTAATGGTCAACTCCGTAGCCTTGTAATTTTGAACCCAATTCAGAAGACAAAGGTACTCCTGGATCAAATATTGGAGGAAATTTGCCTTCGTGGAGAACTTTTTGGTGTAACTAACCCGCAATTGCGTTACATGGAGAGGAAAACCTTCCACGGTTAGCCTAACGGCAAGGGGACTATAACCCATGATCCGTTTACCACTTAGGATATTTTACGTCAGCACTGTGGTCTGTGCGAGCCGTGCCGAATTCGTATTTCTGTCTTATAGTAAGCGAAAAACATGGGCAAATCACTTTTCTAATAAATTTCTTTTTAGATGGCCATCCCCTCCCCCCAACGTCTTTCCAAGTGATGCGCCGTGTTTAGATCAGGTAAAATAAATTATTTCCTCATTCGTAGTCTATATGAAATGCGCAATTTTTAATTGAATTTTATTATTGATGCAATAAAATTATAATTTAAAGTTCAGTAAAAACAACAGTTTTTACGTTTCAAAAAGCAATTCCTTGTACAAAAAAATATGAACACTTAAAATTTTTGGTATTCTAAGTATCTGGACCCAAATTCAGATTTTTCTATTAAAATAAACGCTTTTAAATTTAAAAAGCAGATTATGCATTCTATGTTTGATATGGTAACGATATTTCGGTTGTTTACTTTTGTAATAAAAAGCATTTGAATTAGCAGTAGAATTTATTATTTTCCTTTAATTAAAAATAATTTATAATACGTATTTTAATTAAGAACATTTTGTTCTTTATTGGTAAATTTAATTGGGAAGCGTATTAAATATATGTTAAACTTAAGCCGAAAAATAAACCTATTTTAAGTTAAGGCGCATTATATAATTTGAGAAATAAATAAATACAACGTTTGCTGAGCAATTAGATAATTTTTCATTCATTTTAAAAAATGTGAATATTTAGTAACTCGACTTATTTTAAAATTTCTCAAAAGTAATGAAAAATGCAATACTTTTTTTAAATATTTTTTTTAGCTCCTTCATTCATTCACTTTCCTTCATAACTGCAAAAAATGATAAATAAAAAAAATACTTCCTTAAATAAAATGATCAGAAATTTACAGAAAAATCTATCGAATTTATAGTGATGATATGTGTGGTAAAATTCAGAAATTGCCTCTATCTAAAGTAGATCCAAGCAAAACTAACTTACCTTGTAATTGGCAGTAAACCTTAAGTCAAATATTTTTGTCCACATGGTTATGATGGTTTAATCCACGTTATTATTAGTTAGTTGAATATCAGAAGAGACTATCCGGCTATGGAATTATGTAGTATTCTGCCGATATGTTTGGCAGGTGAGAGGAGTTTTAAGAGACCCGAGAGATTAAGGTCAGCATTCAACCCTTTTCGGGATTTCATCCATTTCCGGATATCCTACACCGACCAATCGAACGAGTATTTTTTTTTATTTTAATCTTTTAGATATAAAATTATTTAAATGACGGCCTGTCAAGCTGTCAACATTTTTGTTGATTTCTAAATTATTGAAGTCATTTTTTTTTGGTGTCTTATCGCCCGCTTTGGCATTTTCATAATTTTGATGTGATTACTAAATTTTTTTCACATTTCTAAATTCTGTTCATTATCGATTATGATTGCTTAATTATTTTTCACATTCTTTTTCTAATGATTAACTGTTATGATTACTGATAGTAAACAATTACTAAACTTATGTTAAATTAACAAAATGTAAAAAGAATTTAGTAATCATAATACATAATGATAAGAATATTTAGCATTGTATCAATATGAAAAGAATGTAGCAAACATAATAAATAGTCATCAGAATTCAGTATTAATGTTTTGATGTCAGAAAAGAATTTAGTTAATTGCATCAAAAACATTCTACATTAATAATAAATTCTGATTATTATCTGATATGACTACTAAATTCTTTTCACATTGATACTATATTCTGATTATTTTGTTGATTATCTGTTATGATTACTAAATTCTTTTTACATCTTGTTAATTAAACAGTTTAGTAATTTTTACGGTCATTAAACTGAGACTGACCTTAAAATTGATTAATTTTAAAACAGAAGTTTAAAAAATTAAATCTTGCAGGTATTATACAATTTGTTTATTATTCCATTCGTAATTTGTATAAAATTTTGTCCAAGAAATTTAATTTGGAGTAAATTAGTTACTTATAGTACAAATAACGTCATAAACAATTTTATGATATGGGTCATTCTCACGAAAACTGTCATTTTTCAGTTCATAAAATCCCAAAAAAGTAAAGTGAATAAAAAGCTCTGAAACTTTTTATATTAATAGAAATTATGTAATGGCATTATAAAGAAAGTATATATCCTATAAATTATACTTAATATTTAAATTAATTAATTTTTTAAATAATTAATTTATAATTAATTAATTTATAATAATTAATAATTAATTAATTNTATAAAAAAATATCATTGCTAGTATTTTTTTAAAATTATTTTGGGAGGGAGAATTTAGCACTATACTCGGAAGAATATGTTTGCATTACTGCATAATTCTAGATAAGTACATTTTTTCTAAGTGACAGAGATAAAAAAAAAAAATAGTCACTGTCAAACATCAAATTGAAGAAGGATTTTTTTTTCGAATTTTTGTAGTTGAATGCCTCTGTTAATTCATATGCATATTGTATTATTCAAATTCAAATTAATGTCGTTTTTTAATTTAAAAAAAAAAATGGGAGGTTTAGAAGTTGAATTAGAGGCGCTAGGGCGATTGCGCTACTAAAACCACTATGTTTTTACAATGTTAAAAAATTACTATGTAACTATGTTTACTATGTTAAAAAAAGAAAAAGAAATTGGTTGTACACAGAACGTTTAACGTATGGCCGGGATAGCCTGGTCAGTAGGGCGCTGGGCCCATATTCGTGGGTTCGAACCCCGTCGGCCGAAGACTCCCCGTGTAGTTGGTGACTGATGCACGTTAAAATTCTGTTGAGTCGCAAAGTCCACCATGTTCCCATAACAAACCAAAACTTCTGGGGGTACTGGACTGGAGTTCGATCGTTCTCTGATTCAGGTCAAAATTACGATCTGTGTATGAATGTATGAATGGGTCCCCCTTGGGGATGAATTTGAATGGGGATGTATGAATGGGTCCCCCTTATTGGAATGGGTCCCCCTTATTGGCAGGTGTGACGTATGATGTGGCAGAAGTCGAATTCTTGGCCATAGATGGCGCCACTGAAAAACAAGAATCTCAGTCTCTGCCTTAAATTTGCTCGGTTTCACCAAGCAGGCTTGTCCGTGTGGCAAGTGTCATTAGAACCAACCCAACCACGTTTAACGAGAGAAATGAACAAGAGAAAATGTAAAGCTTTAAACAAATGAGAAAACGTTTGAGATATTCATTGATTTATAGATTAGTTTTCATAGTGTTGGAGCTGAATTAGGGTTTATGATTATCTTGTATTTATCCTCGAAATTACAAAAATATTGTGCTCAGGAAAAAAGATTACGTTCAATCGTACAATACTTTTCAAAAAGGCTAAAAAAAAGAAAAGAAAAAAGAACAAACAATTAGTGAGTTTTAGGCAGTTAATTTTATAACGTACAAATATCAGAAAGTTTTTATATCATTTCTTATTAAAAACTGTCTCTATTTCCACTCTTATTGGCAACTAATAAACTTTTCTTCCAGGGAAAATGATGCAAAACATCAGTTTTAACAAGATTTCAACTAAACACTTTATTGAAATGACATATTGTTGTATACTATTGTCTTTAAAGCATCACTCTATCAGTAGCTTTATTTTTGAATTTTAAGAGTATACTAACAATCTTCTGTCATTTATAAACTATCATTTACCATAGATAAATGACAGGTGAACGTTTGAGCTAAAAAAATAGCTGAAATCCTTTTGATTAATTTGGAGAATTGGCAAAATATCAGTTTCAACGTTCTTTTTTATGCAATTTTTTTTAGTTTGCACCCCTTTAAAAAAATAATCTCATTTCTTCACTAGATTTGTTGTTTTATTTATGAATTTTAACTGCTAATCAATTCATAATTTTATAATCAATGGTAGAAGGACGTTAGAGCAAAAGGAAGACGAATAGAATGTCCAATTTAGGATAAAAGATATTTTTTCACAACAGCACATTGACAATTAAGACATGTAATAGCACTTAGTCTTATGTCTTCTTTTCAGGAGATATGAACTCAGTTCATCAAACTGACTTGGCGATCAATGAGAAGATTTTCAAAATTACAACAACCCCGTAGACTGCATCCCATCCATGTTCTTTTGTTCCGCGTCCTCCAAAACTTCGATCGTTCATCCACCTAGAGGTCAGCCAACCGGAATGTAATGAGGACCGTTTAGAAATGACACAATCCTTTGTTGTCCACTTTATAGATAACCCACAAATTTCCCCCTTTAACCAATATTCCGGGAATCGTAGTTTTATAACTTCGATGGATGCATATTTCAAGTGCCGCTTCCTCTTGTTCGTCTGGAAACTCCCAGTCATTGAGATATTAGATCAATAGGAACTTTTTTTTATTTACCTAAATGGTTATGGAATTTTTAAGAGTTATTGTATGAGATTCGAAGTGTCCTCTCTTTCACAGTCTGCTCGTTGTATTTACTCGAGAAGATTTATGGTATTAGTTTTGCGGACGGAATGTTGATGCAGCCGAATTATTCCACAACGGTAATGAGTTAAAGGGGGTTTTGTTCGTAAATGTATAACCTATTTAGCTTGGGAGAAAATGTTATGTCGGTCCAGATCAGTCTGGCAATCTCTGAGGCAGTAGGCCGACCGAACTTATGTCGTGAATTATTTCTGATCAATCAATTACATTTAAAAGTTGGAAAAAATAAAATACCGTTGAGATTGGAAGCGTCCTCACTTTGACAGTCTGCCCGTTGTATTTACTCGAGAAGATTTATAACATTCATTTGGTGGACGGAATGTTGATGTAGATGAATTATTTACAACGGTAAAGGGATTTTGTTTGATAGAAAAATTGATGTTTGATTTTGCTTGATAGAAAAAATGTTACATCCGTCCAGATCAGTCACGTTCTCTGAAGCAGTACCCCGATAGATTTTTCCTTGAATTATCACTGATCAATCAATAGAAAACAAACCAGAGGGTCAACTATATCACTTGACTAGTATAATTCTTGACCAGTATAATTCTTGACTAGCAACTTCGTGACTAGTGTTCGCCTTCCAATGAGGTGAACTGGTTTCAAATCCCAGCAATGGCTGGTCGATACAAATTCCGAACCCGGCTCGAACAGACCACAATGTTGACGTAAAATATCATCAGTGGGAGACGGATCATGGGTTAGATTCCCCTTGCCGTCAGTCTAACCGTGGAAGACTTACGTGGTTTTTCTCTCTATGTAACGTGAATGTGGTTGGTTCCATCAAAAAGTCCTCCACGAAGGCAAGTTTCTTTCAAAACTTAATTTAGGAGTTCTCTTGTCTTCTGGATCAGATTCAAAATTACAAGGCTGCAAAGTTGAGCATTGGTAGTCGCAAATTCTAAATTGGATCTGCTGTTCAACGACGTTTATAAAATAAAATAAAATAAAATGAAATTCTTTAACTCCTCCAATCCTAACACCTTAGTTTAAATATTGCCAATTGATAAAGTTTTACTTAGTGTAATAATCTGCCACTGCTATGTATATGTTTTGAAATTCTTCCAAATTTGATTATTATTTGATTATTCTCCCAAATTTTCAAAAGTTTGATAAGGAAATAAAACAGTTTAGATCATATTCTAATGAAACTTGCCAAAAAAACACACTTTACATTTAAATTAAGTCGTGAAAAAATTATATTTCGTACGACATGGATTTTACAGGGGTTGGACAAAAATATGAAAACACTTTTATGCCAATTCTATGTAACAATATTTCTTTAGCAGCAAATGTTTTGGAAGATTTTACATGCCAAAACAGTTGGTACAATTTGAAAGATCATGTTGAAGCTTTTGGAAATGATGTCCCCTTTTTACCAATTCCGAATTCGGATAGATCAAAATGAGGAGACGAAGTATATAACTTCTTTCTAGCTTTAATACCAGCAATTTTGAAATTTTTCACTAGGATTGCCACATTTATAAAAGAATGATTTTAAAATTATTGCGGTATTAAAAAAGAAAAAAGAAATCTTTTAAATTTCCATGCTTATTTTGTTCGAAGGGAATTTTGCACGGATAAAAAAGACACCATTTCTAAAAGTCTCAATCTTAATCATTCAAATTATGCCAACAATTTTGTCACGGAAAAATCTTCTAAAACAATTAGGGCTAAGAGAAAGATTGTTTGCATAGAGTTAGTATAGAAGTGTTTCCATATTTTCGTCTAACCTTTCTAGGTTGGATAACTTGGTTGGTAGGGCCCTGGG